GGGCCTCCAAACAGTATAAGCTCCAGGCCCCACGTAAGCTGGATCTGCCCGTGCCGGTGAGTGAACCCAATAGTTCACACAATAGTTTGCACAACAGTACAATGTGTGTACTATGACAATTTGGGAGTGTGTAATGAATGGAAGGGGACCCCTTGAGGGCACACTCCACCCAGTGTGTGTTTCTGCAGACAGGGTGCTTGAGTTGGACATCTAAATGTGAGTTAGGAACTGGGAAGCCGGCCCTCCAGGAAAAGAAAAAAAACGGAATTAACAAAGGCCCTCAGGTGGGACAGAGTCTGGGGAGATGGATCAGAAGAGAAAGAGTTTGTATACTTCTTTTGAAGCCATTGAAGATGTTGAAGGCTGTGGGAATGGTCTCTCTAGTTAGGTCATAGAGATCTCTTGGGAGAGGAATATTGAAACCCTCTAGCCAAAGATAACCGGACCTACACCGTATGTGATAATCCACAAAGATGGGTTTATTCGCTTGCTGGAGCAGGGAGGGGGCACCCGGGGGGATCTGGGGGGCCCGGTAGGAGGGGCCAGAAGGGATTAGTCTGGGATTTGGACTTGTGTTAGGTAATTTTAAGCAGGAGCTAGGGCTGTGGGGATTGGCTCTCTGTTCAATACAGTTGGCAGTTTGGGAAGAGGGTCCTACAGGGTAAATTGTTCAGAAATTTCCCTGTTGCCCAAGCAGAAAGAGATTCATTCCCTTTTCCCCTTTTTAGAGCATTTCCTTGAGAAACTATGTGCATGTAAATCTTTCCTCTGTCTCTTTGATATGTATGTAAATCTTTTGCTGTTTTTTTTTAATATGGTAAACTGTATGTAACAGAAAATTTACCATCTAGCTATTTTTAAGTATACAATCCGATGGTATACAGGACAATGGTGGGGGCGCCTGGGTGGCTCAGTCAGTTGGTTTCAGCTCAGGTCATGACCTCGGAGTCGGGAGCTTGAGCCCCGCATTGGGCTCCATGCTCAGAGGGGAGTCTGCTCCAGATTCTCTGCCCCTCCCCCACCCCGCATACTTTCTCTCTCTCTCTCTCTCTCTCAAATAAATAAATAAATAAATCTTAAAAAAATATATAAAGGACGATGGTGTATAACTGTCACCAGTATCTATTTCCAGAACATCCGGAACATTTTCTATCACCCGTAACAGAAACTCTATTACCATTAAGCAATAACTCCCCGTTGCCTCCTCCCTCCCAGGCCCTCCCATTAATCTACTTTCTAACTCTATGAATTTGCCCAGACTCGATGTTTCACGTAAGTGGGATCATACAATATTTGTCCCTTTGTGGCTGGCTTCTTTTACTTAGCATCATGTTTTCTTTTTTTTTTTTAAGATTTTATTTATTTATTTGAGAGAGAGTGAGAGAGAAAGAGAGCATGAGCAGGGGGAGGGGCGGAGGGAGAAGAGAAGCCTCTTTGAAATGTAAATATCAAGGAAGATAGTGTCACTAACTCCCTGGGACCGTGGGGGTTTAGCCTAAGCAACTTGTTCCAAGCTGTAACCTCCTGCTTATCGTAAAGATGAGAAGTTTTATTACTTCCTTGAGACAAAGGCAATTATCCAGCACAATGTGTACCCTGATTACCAAGTGAGTTTAGGATGAACTAGGAAAGATGCGTCAGGTCTTTCTACCTGAGGACAAGTTAGCCTTAATCTTGAGAGCATGTTTAGGATGCAGTACTTGGCTATATATGAAAAGCGTGGGATTTCTCTCCGTTTTGTAATCTCATTAGCAGATGACCTGCGCTGTGCCTCAAGTCTAGTTTGCTTATTCACTATTTTTTTTTAAAGATTTTGTTTATTTATTTGACAGAGAGAGACACAGCGAGAGAGGGAACACAAGCAGGGGGAGTGGGAGAGGGAGAAGCAGGCTTCCCGCTGAGCAGGGAGCCCGATGCGGGGCTCGATCCCAGGACCGTGGGATCATGACCCGAGCCGAAGGCAGACGCTTAACGACTGAGCCACCCAGGCGCCCGCTTATTCACTATTAAAACTACTCTTTTCTAGAATTGTGGAGAGGCTTTTCTGGTTTGGCAGGAGATTTTAATATTTTTCTCCTGACAGTATCTTGGTCATCTCTGATCAGAAATGGGAAAAAGGAGGGGCACGTGGGTGGCTCAGTTGGTTAAGCATCCTGCTCTTGATCTCAGCTCAGGTCTTAATCTCAGGGTGGTGGGATTGAGCCCTGCATTGGGCTCTGTGCTGGCTGGGGAGTACACTTTAAAAAAAGGGGGGGTGGGGGGAGAAGGAGGGCCTGGGTGGCATTGATAAGAAAACAATAGTTGTTTCATGAGAACAGCTTGCCAATCACCTGTGCGGCTGTGGGGTCTGCCTTCTACCTAATGGGCTGAAAACTTTGGTTACCAAAGTCTGAGTATCACTGGGGCTGATTTTCACATTCTCTGGGCCAGGGTGAAAGCCAGGGGAACATTTAGGGGCCATGCTGGGGCATGGACTGGGACCATGGCTAAGGAAACAGAGAGAAAGAGACAGATTGATAACTACTAGAAGTGACCTTTTAGAGAAGAAAATTGTTTCCTTATCTCCCCCCGCCCCAAAAAAAGTTTTCGCAGAGAAACTGAAGCAGAGAGAACATAACCTCTGTTTGGGCATTCGAGTATGGAGAGTGCTTCCCAGCACACTTAAGATAAGATCCCAACCCTCTTTCCAGGCCCTGTAGGATCTGACAGAGTTAAGTACATGCTGTGTTTGAGAGCATGGAATCTGGAGCCACCACCTCATCCCAATTCAGAGCTGCCCAGCTAAGACCTTCCCCACATCCTGGTCCACAAAATCAAAAGCACAAAAACAAGGTTGTTTTACACCCACTAAGTATTGGGTTTGTTATGCGGCAATAGTAACTGACATATATGCATTGTTTCATTTAATAGGAAGATCTGTTGTTATCCCCATTTTATAGAGGAATTAACCTCTATTGGTCATTCATATGGAGATGGTGAGGGAGAAAGAGGTGCCAAGGATGGCCACAACTTCTAGTTTTGCAGAAATGGATGGATGGGTGGCCTTTCCTAAGGCAGGAACCACTGGAAGAGGGCAAGGTGAAGTTGCTGGAGGATGTGTGTTTTCTCCTGGACACACTGAGTTTTAGGGACCCAAAGGGAATGTCAGGTGAGCAGTTAGCTAAGCGAGTCTAGATCTCAGAGGAGCAAACTGGGCTGCAGAGAGAGTTCTGGACATCAACCCAGAGATCAAGAAGAGTTCCATGCTCTCCTGACTAAGCCCACCAGGTGCTCCTAAAATTAAACATTTTAAGATGAACTATTCAGTGGCATTTAGTACATTCACAGTGTTGTGCAACTACCACCTCCATCTAGTTCCAAAACATTGCCACCTCTCCAAAATAAAACCTGTACTCATGAAGCAGTATCTCCCCATTCCCCCATGACACACTTTTACCCAGCACTTTCCCTGTGTCGGGCTCTGTTCTATGCACTTTATCTCCATGTACTCACTGAATTCTCATGACAATCCCAGGAGGCCAGCATTCTTATTATCCCCATTTTACAGATGAGAAACTGTCCCTCAGAAAGTCTGACCTGCTCTAGCTAAACAGCTGGTTGGACAATGCAAATAACAGGCAATTATTGAGGATCTGCTATGTATGGGGCCTGAGCCAAGTCACGGGGCACCCACCAGTGAATCAAATACAGTCCTGATGCTGAAGTTGCTTCTGATCTAGCAGGAAAGATGAAGGTTGGACAGTTACAAATTAATTCAGTAAGTAAAGACGAGACTGAAAAATGCTGGGAAGGAATTATATGCGGGGCAGTGGGGCTGAGGTGAGGAAACGGAGGTCATCTGCAGAGGTTAAACTAAGGCCTGGAGGAAGAGGAGGAGTAGCTAGAAGGAGGACATTCTAGCACAAAATATATTCCAGGCAGTGGGACCAGCATACCCGTGAAGGCCAGAAGTGGAAGGAAAGAGACCAGGCTGGCTGGGATGTGACTAGTGAAGGAAAGAATGGCTTCAGATAGATAAGGAGAGGTAAACAGGGGACTATCCCTTTGCAACAACGTTAGGGATTTTGGATTCATTTCTAAGGGCAGTAGGGAGCCATGAATGGCTTAACACCATCCATTGAGAGTTAACTTTACAACTTCAATACTTTCGGGGCATTCTGATTTCCAAATTGGGGTGGGGGCCTTATTGAGCCTCCATGTACTGACAGTAGATTGTTCTATACCTATGTGTCCCCCCAACTGGACTTTGAGCTCTTGTGAGGCAAGGACACCGTCTTACTCACATCTGTATCCCCAGGGCACACAGCACAGGGCCCCGGGTTAAAAATAATAACATTTATTTATTTGATATTTATTAATAATAAAATTATTATTATTATTATTATTATTATTATTGGTGTAGGCACTGAATTACCCGGATGGTAATTCCTGCTTTAAGGGTTCAAAGCCAGGCTCTACCACTTTTTGTGTCTGACTTTGAACCAGTGACTCCCACCTTTATGAGCCTTGCTTTCTGTATTCCTAGAATGGGTATAATTACAGCACCCATCATAGAGGGCTCTAATAGAGGAGAAAGAAACGTAAAATGCTTGGCACAGCACCAACTCAAGAATATTTAGAGCAGTCAAGCAGAAGTCAAGCCTCTCTTTAGTACACGGAATTGTGAGCAAGTCCGTTTAGCTAGCTCCCTGATCCTCAGTTTCCACATCTGTAACTCGGGGAGATAAGAGGTGATAGGGTTATTGGGAAGGACCGCTGAGCTCACGCACAGGAAGCGCTCCGGACACACAAGAAAGTTGGATGCTGCTACGACCGCGGGTTCGCAGCTCCCGGACCCACAGCGCAGTTGCCAAGACGCGGCTTCCCTCAACCCGTCGCGGCCCGGGCCGAGAGGGTGTGGCCAAGAACGCGGGCGGGGCGATCCGTGCGCCCGCCCCTCAAGGCGAGTGGGCGGGGCGAAGCGCGGCGCCCTGGCGCGCGCGCGCGGCGGGCCCAGGTACGCGGACAAGATGGCGGCGGCAGCGGTCGACAGCGCGATGGAGGTGGTGCCGGCGCTGGCGGAGGAGGCCGCGCCCGAAGCGGCGGGCCTCAGCTGCCTCGTCAACCTGCCCGGCGAGGTGCTGGAGTACATCCTGTGCAGCGGCTCGCTGACGGCCGCCGACATCGGCCGCGTCTCCAGCACCTGCCGGCGACTGCGCGAGCTGTGCCAGAGTAGCGGGAAGGTGTGGAAAGAGCAGTTCCGGGTGAGGTGAGCCCGCCGCCCGCGCCCCCGCCCCGCGCCCCCCGGGCCCGGGCTCGGGCCTGGCCGGCCCGCGCCGCCGCCTCCCTGACCGCGCGCGGACCCTCTCCCCGGAGGCCACCCCCGGACCCCTGCCCGCGGACCGACAGACAAAGGCCTCCGGGCCGCCGGCTCCCCGGGCCCCTGGGGTCCACGCCGCGCGGACCCGCCGCTGCCCAAATTGCGCATCGGGAAGCGCCCGGCAGCCGGGGGCCCGCCATAGAGGGTGACGACGGTAGGATCGCTGCTGATCCATCCTGCGCGCTTCTTTGTGCCCGACTCCGAGCTAAAATGTTTACATGGATCCGGCGGTGCAGTGATCCTAACAGCCCTTGGAGGAAGAGCGGACGCAGCATTCCCCGGTTGCGGGCGGAGAGCACAGATTTCGGTGTGGGACCCCGGATAAATCTGGCCGTGACACACTTGCCGTATGACCTTGGGGGGGGGGGGTAGCGACTTCCCTTTCTTTTGAGCCCCATTCATCGAGTTTACACGGTGATAATCAGACCTACCTTTTACTGTGGTTATTAAATGAGATGATGTGTAAGGAGCATTTATTTACACAGGGCCCGGCCCTTGGGAGGCGCGCGATCAGTGTTAGCAGCCCTTGTCGTCACTATTACTGTTGCTGCAACTGTCCCCATTTTAGAGATGGGGAGTGGAGACGGAGCATTCCTACTGCTACGCCAAGGTCACGCCGCAAGCTGCGTGCCGGGTGGAGATTTGAACTAGGGTCACCGCCAGGGCCCCGGTGCCACTAAACCATACTGCTTTCCCTGTTTTTCAAGGCTGTCTTTGATTCGTGTGTCTGCCTTTGAGTCTCCGTTAAGCTGAGAGGGTGTTTCTTTCCTTGTAGGTGGCCTTCCCTTATGAAACACTACAGCCCCACCGACTACGTCAATTGGTTGGAGGAGTATAAAGTTCGGCAAAAAGCTGGGTTAGAAGCCCGGAAGATTGTAGCCTCATTCTCAAAGAGGTTCTTTTCGGAGCACGTAAGGATCCGTTGATGTAGCTCCCCGCTTTTGCCTGCTAGTGGTGTATGTGTCTGGGTCTGTAGGCATTAGCTCATCCAGCTTTCTGATACTCCTTTTTCAGTTCTCTCACAATCCCTGACTCACTTAGATGGCCGCAAGAGTCATTGTGTCCTTTTCCTCCCATCCAACAACACGAAGCCATTTGTCCCTGCCAGCTTTACTTTTCTAAAGCCAGAGAGAGAATGGGGGTGGAGAGGGAGGGAGGGACCCACAGCACAATGTAGAGGGAATCCAGATCAGCATTATTTCTCCTGGAGGAGGTTAAACATATTTTTCACAGCCCCCGCTTGAGTTAGGGGATTATCAGTGATCAAACACTACAGATTTCGTTTGCCCAGTTGTTTTCCCAGAAGGGTTGACAAAATTAATACGGTTTTTCTCTCTGGCTTTGCAAGTTCTAACTAACCACTAGTGAATAGCATTGTTTCTTAAGGTAACAGAGGATTGGAAGCTATCTGTAAATCAGAAGTATTACTCCGTCAGTTAAATTATCTTGCATTCATTATCCCTGAAAAGTGTTTTTTTTTTTTTTAATATTGTTGAAATGCATGGGTTTTTGTAGTTGTTTTCTTTTCCCACAAAGCATCTCAGAAGTTTCTATATTAGGTCATGATTCTTAACTTTTTGTAATTCCGGGAAGTAGTTCACACTAATATTTTAAATTTCTTTCTTTTTTTCTTTCTTTTTTTTTTTTTTTTTAAGATTTTATGTATTTGACAGAGAGATAGAGCCAGAGAGCACAAGGGAGTGAATGGCAGAGGGAGAGGGAGAAGGAGGCTCCCTACTGAGCAGGGAGCCCGATGCGATGTGGGGCTCAATCCCAGGACCCTAGGATCATGACCTGAGCCGAAGGCAGATGCTTAACCAACTAAGCCACCTAGGCACCCCTTAAATTTACTTCTGATTGAGGGCCTAGAAATAGAGCCAGTCTGATTTATTTATTTATTGGCTTTGGGGTTTTTTGTTTGTTTTAAGTAAACTGTACGCCCAGTGTGGAGCCTGAACTCAGGACCCTGTGAGATCAAGAGTCGCATGCTCTACTGAGTGAGCCAGCCAGGTGCCTCTGGTTTATTTTACTGTCCTGGTTTACTGAAGATTAATTTCTCTTTTCTTAACTTTCTTCCTTTCTTTTTTAAGGTTTTTTTTTTTTTAAGATTTTATTTATTTATTTGACAGAGACACAGCGAGAGAGGGAACACAAACGGGGAGTGGGAGAGGGAGAAGCAGGCTTCCCTTGGAGCAGGGAGCCCGATGAGGGGCTCGATCCCAGGACCCCGGGATCATGACCTGAGCCGAAGGCAGACGCTTAACGACTGAGTCACCCAGAGGCCCCAAGATTTTATTTTAAAGTAATTTCTACACTCAGTGTGGGGCTTGAACTTACAACCCTAAGATCAAGAGTTGTATGCTCTCCTGACTGGGCTAGTGAGGCACCCTGATTAATTCCTATTTTCTAATTTTAATTAATATTACTAAATGGAGTTCATACATGTGAATTGTTTTCAAGACTTTTCAAGTTTTGAAAGGGAAAATTTGAACTTTGGACAAATTTGAACTTACTCCCCTATGGGGAATAAAACTAGATATCCCCCATGTAATTCATTTCTTCCTTCCAGTCTGTCTGTCGTTCTTTCTTTCTTTTTCCTTCTTTCTTTCTTTCTTTATCTCTCTCTCTCTCTTTCCCTCTCTCTCTTTCTTTTTTTCCTTTCAGATTTTATTTATTTGAGAGAGAAAGAGAGAGCAGGAGCCAGAGTGAGAGCAAGCAGGCAGTTGGCAGGAGCAGGGATGACACAAGCTAATTCAGGACCAAGCGCAGAGCCGGACGTGGGTCTTGATCTCAGGACCCTGAGATCATGACCTGAGCCGAAATCAAGAGTGGGACGCTTAACTGACTGAGGCGCCCCTAGTGTAATTCATTTCTATAAATAAATTTTCATTGATATTAAGATGGACAGAATTTATGTTCTATTCTGGATAAGCCATGCCCTGGCCAAAAGCCTTCATATCAAGATTTTAAAACTGGTACAGATGTGATTGCACACACGTATATTTGGGTGCTAGATGTATTTGATGCACTTGGTCATGGGCTACTAATTTGCATCCTCTGTTTCTAGTCCAGCTGGTTTTGTGTGCATTTTTAACAGCCTGTGTGTTTGTCTAATAATGATGAATTATTGTATTTTTTTCCTTAGCTCCCTCTTTCCGTGTACCACTGCCTAATTAGAAATATGTCAAGGACTTTGAATATAGCAGGAATAGACTTAAGATTGATCTGTGGGTGGATGATTACTTTGGCTCAGGACCCTTGTATTCGTGTGTTCTCTGCATGCACACAGGTTGACATGAAATTTCCTGGCTACTTTCAAAACAAAATGGGAGAAGTAGTAGAATTTTAAAGCTTATTGGTACCACCACGTCAATTTACAGAGGAGAAAATAGGCCCAGTGGGTTAAGTGAGTTGCCCAAAGTACTAGGCTTCTCTCTGGTCCTCTGCTCCTACTTGAGTACAGCATAAATTGCATGAAATCACTGTTGTAAATTATGATATTTTGTATTTCTAATCCTTGTTTCAGAGCTATTTTTCTTCACATTAGAACTCTGAGTAATTTCAGAAATTCCAGACTATGAAAATATAATTAATTTACAACTGGGGCAGTAAGATCTGAACAAATTACTGTTACTCCACATGTTACTTGCCACCCATGGTGGGTGGTGCAGGATAGTGTAGGACAGCTGTTACCACTTCCATGCACATGAGCATCTTTGTTTGCAACTCAGATTTGTGTGTGAGAGTGACAGATTACTGCCTGTTGTTGAGGCCTGTTTGTGTATGTCTTCTTCATAGGTCCCTTGTAACGGTTTTAGTGACATTGAGAATCTTGAGGGACCAGAGATATTTTTTGAGGATGAATTGGTGTGTATCCTAAATATGGAAGGAAGGTAAGTTATACGTTTTAGCAGGGATTGTTTTTTGTTCATTCTAATAATGCCCAGAATTAACTGCTGTAATTTGTATGTGGCTGAACCCTGGGATATGTTTTCCAAATATTTCATGTCTTGCCATCGTTATATTCTTGAAAAATTCTGTGTAAGTAATGTAAATACACAGAGACAATTGATATTTAAAGAAACCTTGCAAAAATCCTTTTGGAAGGAAAAAAGAATTAGTATTTATTCCTAGTATGGGTCAAATACTGTGCTTGGCACTTGTATCTATTATGTCACTTAGTAATATAAACTACCCTTCCTTTATGACCTCTCCACCTACCATCACCAAATTTGTCTGTTATGGATTGAATTTTTTTCTTGATTTCTTAGGCATGTTTTAATTTAATGGAGGATTTTCTTAATGATTTCTGAGTTTTGTTAAGAAATGATCTTACTTTGGCCTTGAACATTATTGGTATCTGATTGAACCTTTCCTTTATCTCTCCCGATCAAGAAGAATCCATCGTCTCTTGTTTGTTGTTTAAAATTTTTTATGCCTCATATTTTCTGCTGTGAAGGTTAATTTCCAGTTTACCTAAAAGATGACTTGGCTTCCAGTTTAACATACCTATGAAAAAGATTTTCTGCCCTAAAAGTTCTGGAAACTATTAGTGATAGAAGATAAGAAGGCTAGCTTAGCATCTTCCTTAGAACTTATTGTGCGATAGCTCACAAACAAGGCATAGGATATTTTTCTTGTTTTTAAAGGGGTTTAGGAAAGAGAACTATCTATCAGGAACAACTGTAGGGGAGAGGTAAATGCGCCACTATTCTAGGCCTTGGATGAGTTCAGATGCAGAGGTCATTTTTCCGTTTCTATTTTGGTTTATCTATAAATGAATTGAAGTATGATCTAATAGTCAGTATTGTGCAGCCTTAAAAATAAAAGCTGAGCTGTCTTTTTTACATATACGTGAGTATACTTTCAAATACGTAAACGTAATGTCATATATACTAAGTTTATTGGTTCTTTTAGTTTTGATTTGATGTTGAGTGCAGACTTTATTTTTTCTTGCTTATGCTGTTTCTCCATTCCTCCCCACTCTCTCCATTTGCATTGGCTTTCCCTGCCCCACCCTTGTAATTAATGATGACAGCTTAGCCTATGTTCTAACATGCTGATACACATCGATATATGTGGGGATGGAGGGAGATCATTTATTTCACAGAATTGTGATCATAAAATAGGTGCTTTTCTGTATCTTTTTTTTCTCATTTAGCATTACCTTGTGGAAATCTAATCAACTGATAAAAAGTCAAATTCATTTTATTAATGGCTGTATACTGTTTTACTGTACATACTGTAATTTATTTAACTATCCCACTGTTGATGAGCAGCCACTTTCTTCTCCATTTTATGTTATTGTAGAGGGTGATGTTTTTTGTGGTCTTATTTCTAAGTAATAGGTTCCTGGGAATGAGTGTCCGAGGTCAGACTATAGAATGTTACCGAAAAACATAAAAGATAGCATGTCCTTGACTGGGGAGACTTACTATTACAAAAATGTCAGTTCTTCTAAAATTAACACATAACCTTAGTGCTATTCCAATTAGGATGCAAAAAGAGTTTGGGGACAGGAGTTTTTTTGCTTTAATTGGATGATATTGTCATAAAATATGTCAAGAAGATTAATTCACTAGATGATCCAAAAAACCCACAATTTTTAAATAATCACATTGTAAAACTTGCATCACTAGGTAATAGGACATAGATGAAGCTGGCTGTAACTGAAACAGTGTTTAAATAGGAGTTGAGAGCTACAGGAGTGACAGAATAATTCAGAATTGTGTCCCAGCATAAAAGATAATATTAAGTCAGAGGGGAAAAGGTGGCATATTTAATGGTTGTTATTGGAAATAGCTGAATATTCCTCTGGAAGAAAGTAAAACTGACATCATACACAAAAATTAAGTTCCAAAAGATTAAATAACCTAAATTTTAAAATTATCACAATGAAAATCCGTCAGTAAAATAGCAGACTTTGTGTCTAATCTAGGGAGACCTACTTAACTAAGATTAATGAGACCAAAGCAATACAAGAATATAGACAGAGTTTTGCAATAAAAAATAAACTTCCTTTTGACCAAAGAAACTATAAAGAACATCAGTAGAATTCTTAAAATGTCTAAGAAGAAATTGAAAAAGACGCAGAAGAGGAGGACATTCACAGAAGAGCAGATCCAGAGGGCTGAGAATCCTGTAGATCTTTAAATTCACTCTGCAAAGAAATGTTAAATAACAACGAAATTTTTTTTTTCTTAGATTGGCAAACATGACTAAATATGCACAGCCAGTTACAAAAAAAGCATAGTTATAGTCTTTTTAAAAATGAGTGTCACAGATAATGTCACCTCTTGGCCTGACACACATTTGAACAACCCTAAGACAGGGTTGTTTTTAAATGAGAGGGAATACTTAGATTTGTAAATATTTTGGGATGCTGGTGTTCTTGAAGGACTCTGTTTGTATTCATTCCTGGCAAATGCTTATTGTGCAAATATGGAAAGCGTAGGAAGGAAGGATAGTTTTCCATAAATGCTGAAGCATCAATCTCTGGATATTTGAAAACAGTTTGCATTTATGGTGTTCTGTGTGATCTTTAAAAAGAGTACATCTACAATAAAGATTTGAAACAACATATTAAAAGTGGCATACGCTGTACCTGAGAAAATGACCCAGAGTGACCATCACTGAGACATATTTCAGTAAACCTACTGGATTTTAAAGACAGAAAAGTCTTTTGGGCATCCAACCAAAAAAGATGAAGTCACTGATAAGTTTAAGAGAATCAGAATATCATCAGACTTTTCAACAGTTGCTCTATGTCAGAGGGAAAAAGAGTAATATATTTAAGATGCTCAAGGATCAGAAATGTCAGCCAAGGATTTTTATATCCAGCCAAACTGACTTCCAAGTATAAAAGCTGCAGACAAACTTACCAACTTGTGAGGACTCGGGGACTTTTGAACCCTTCATGAGAAATGTGCTAGAAAATGAGCTTCAAACAACCAAAACAACCAGAGAGACACTGACACAAGGACTAATGGTGAGCATTAAATACAAATTTACTTGTAGAATTAAATCCAAGTGACAGTTAATACGGTGAAAAGTATGTAATGGCCATAAACCTTTTCAACATAGATCTAGTACAGTTGTTTAAAGAAATGAGCAGAGAATAGGGGAGAATGGAAACAAATATTTAACTGTTTTCAGCACTTATCAAGGTGATGAAAATACTGGTCTTGTTATTCTGAGGCTGGGCATTTGTGTGTTTCTAAGATGTGGAATAAAGCAAATGAGTACCTAGGTGATACTCTAATTCATCTCTGGTATTCTAGAGAAGTGGGGTATTCTCGGAAGAAGAAAAGTTAGAGATACAAAATAGAAGATGGTAAAAACTGTTTAGTTTTTTTTTTTTTTTTTTTTAAACTGTTTAGTTCTGAATTTGATTCAGAAGTGTCAGTATGAATTCCTGAGATATATTTAAAAATACGCAGGGGTGTGTGTGTGTGGATACACACATAGATACACTAGACCTACTGTTTCTGTCCGTTGAAAAGGTCTAGAAACAATAACCAATCTAGTGGAAATGATGATCCCTAGTACCCAGATGGTGGTCTTGATATACCCTTTCCCATCAAAAGAAGCCACGATTGTGGGGAAAGGGCTGATTCTAGGTCTGATACAGGAATTGTAAAAAGATAAGTCTGGAAGCATCCTGGAAGTCTGGAACCAGATATCAGGAGAAGTATCAATATTTCATGTTGTAAGTGTTCAGGAGCCAACATGGAGAGGCTTTCATTGGCCAGAGATGTGATTTGAGCGGCAGTATGGATAATCACTGGGATGGGTTGAAACACACCAACTGTGTGTAGCTCTGGTAGCTCATCATAATACTCAGGAACCACTAATTGTTCACCTTTGGAGGATAATAAGAATTGAAATTATTATTATTTTGAAAAACAAAAGGAAAGACACAAGCATTTATCCTGCCTTTCCTATTTATTGTGCCATTGGGGGAATTAAATAGTGGATGAGGGGAAGTTATTCCTTATAGAAATGCTCCAGCTAATAAATGAAGAAAGGATGGTGGAATTAGAATATTACCACTTTGCAACCTCTAATGAATTAATGGACCTGGGCATTGAGGAGCAGTGGCTGCTAACATCACCGAAAGGGAAAGCCAAGGCATGATTGCCTCCTGATGGAAGGACTTCCCTACCACCTGTGAAGTAGTCTTGCCAAATAAATGGAATTTGAATCTGATCAAGGGTCTACATCCAATTTACAGGAAATTCAGAAGACAGAAGAACATGTGAAACCATACCTTGTGGATGCAGTCAACAAATTCCAGACTGGGGGAAACTGCAGGTCACACAACCAGGTTTCTTCAACAAATAAAGTGCAAGGGAAAGGAAAGATGGAGGGGGAGCCTGTGCATTAAGAGACTTGAATGACCTCAAAATGGGCTAGACTAGAGTGTTCGGGGATGTACATTTGGTGAGGCAGTGATGAGCATGGAGGTGTGGGTTGTGATGGCTGTAGATGGGGAGAGAGGGCCCTGGAGGGCTCTGGGGTGTCTGTGAAGTCGTTTCTCAGCCTGATTGGTAGGTATGAGGATGTTTGTCTTATAATCATGTATTAAGCTTAATTCATGAAGCTGCTTATTTGTTTCGTGCAGTTTTCTAGATTGACATACTTTACAACTCAAAGGTTAAAAGACTGGTAGAACCTAGTTCTGCCGATTTTCATTTACTAACTGAAGAGCGAGAGTCCTTTCTTTCTTTTTTTTTCTTTTTAAGATTTCATTTATTTTTTTGAGAACGAGCCAGAGAGAAAGCACAAACAGGGTGGGGGAGGCAGAGACAGAGACAGAGGGAGAGGGAGAAGCAGGCTCCCCACTGAGCAGGGAGCCCAATGTGGGTCTCAGTCCCAGGACCTGGAGATCATGACCCAAGCTGAAGGCAGTCGCTTCACGGACTGAGCCACCCAGGCACCCCAGAGAGTTCTTTATTTCTGAAGCCACACAGATAAACTAATCCGTGTCCCTCCTATTTCCCATGATCCCTGTGTACATTTGGATATCTGGTGAAGCATTTCATTCGCTTAGCAAATATTTATTGAGCATCTACTGTGTACCAGAAACTATCCCAGGCACTGAGAATACACTAGTTAGCAACACAAAAATGCTTACATTCTAGTGGGGGAGATAGTCACTAACCAAGTAAGATGATTTATTACATTAGAAGATGCGAATTGCTGTAAACAAATACTAATCAGGGACGGGTATTTGGGGGTGAGGGGAGAAGGCCATACTCAAGATGACATTTGAATGAAAACCTGAAAGGAGGTGAGGGTGCAGATTGCAGATCTCCAGGGAAGGAATGTTCCAGTCAAGGAGCTGAGAGTGCTGAGGCCCGAGGTGAGCACCACCAGGCGTGAAGGAACAGCAGGGAAGCCAGTGTGGCCAGAGGCCTGGTGGAGGCAGAGAAGAGCAGGAATTGAGGTCAGAGGGGTAATGGGGGGAGAGTTTAAAGGACCTCTTAGGTCATCGTTAGGACTTGAGCTTTTACTTTGAGCAAGGTGGAAAACCCGCGAAGAATTTGGGGCAGAGGGTTTTTGTGCTGTGACTTAGCTAACTGAAGCACTGAGGCTGCCGTGTGGAGGGGAGACTGTAGAGGGGCAAGTTTGAAGCTGGGGGCTCAGTTCGGGGACTGTTAAAATACAGACAAAAGATGATGGGGACTTAGATGAGTGAGTGGGAAGTGTTCACATGTCTGGTAGACTTTGAGCTAGAACGAATAGCACAGGTGGGGTTGGGTTGAATGTAGCCGCAGAGCAAACAAGCAAGGAGGCCAGGAGAGCTCCGAGGTTTTCGGCCTGACTGCAATGGCAGAGTTGCCTTTACCTGAGAGGGGGATAGCTGGGAGGGGAAGCATGGGTAAGGAGTTCACCAGACAACCAGGCGGGGTTGTGGAGGAGCAGTTGGATATGCAGGTCTGGAGTTTAGAGGAGAAATGCGTCCTGGAAAATAAACTGAGGGCTGTCAGTGGAGATAATATTTGAAACCGTGAGATGGGATGAGATCACCATGGAGTGAGCGTAGAAAGAGAAAGCCTTAGCCCAAGGCCTGAGTTCCCTAAGGCAGGTACCCAGGGGCCAGCAGATTGCAGACACCTCACCCCTGGTTCCTGAGCCTCAGCCAGTTGCCCCCGCTTTTCAGCTTTCTCTTGGATTTCCTTTTAGTAAATCTGAAGCCAAACAGGTCAGTGTTTTCTTGGATTTCAGCACGAATGGTCTAGTGTTAGTTACGAATGCAAAGTCGTAAATTGTGCTATCTATTCCATGATAGGAAGTGCCATGTGATCACGAACCAGTTATATTTTTCTTGTTAAGTAGGCTCTTTACATCCTGTGATTAGTGTGAAGCAAAAAATAAGGCAATCGAAGGTTTTATTTAGTATCTTGATTCTCATTGACTTGTTTGTTTGTTTTCCAGAAAAGCTTTGACCTGGAAATACTACGCTAAAAAAATTCTCTACTACCTACGCCAGCAGAAAATTTTAAATAACTTGAAGGCATTTCTTCAGCAGCCTGATGACTATGAATCGTATCTTGAAGGTGAGGCTCTGACAGTGATCTTCCGATAGGCAGCTAAGCTGTCGCTCAGAACAGTAGTGGAGACCGTCCCTGAGGGTGGTGTGGCAGAAAAGTGAACTGTGCTGCATGGGCTTCTGGAGGTTAGACAGGCAAAACTGCTAAACTTGGAGCTAAGATTTTGCCAGAGTGTTTGGCTGTCAGCTGAAGAGACAGTATTTTCTCAAGATGCACCATCAGTTCAAAGCATGAGGCTGATAATTTAGCTAATGAGGTTAAATTCCCTTTATCTGATAAGCTTTGAAGCATCATGTCCAAATCAGAAATTTGTCCAGTTTTGTCTCTGTGTGACTTCAAGCAAATCCCTTCACCTCCCTGGTTGGAGTTTAATGAGGACGAAGTGTTCTTGTGCATCAGTGAGTCTGCTTGTCCATAATGAGAAGTGAGGAGAAAGAAGTCAAGTGGACAGACATGATGAAGGGAATAACTTTGTTCCTGCTAAGTCAGACAAGAACAAAATGTGACTTCGTCTTTTTAAACTAATTTAAATTCCTAGCATATTGCAGAAGCACTGCCATAAATTATGGTTATGAAGTGCAGGTACGACTGTTCATTCACTTTCATTCCCTGCTCCCTGTGACTTACCCAGTTCATCAGTTTTCTTTCTTTCCAGTGTTGGCATGGTTGTGTCCCCATTCTATTCCCGTGGTTGTGCAGACTGTCACCACCTCTCCCGGCAGCCGCTTTCGAAGTGGCACTTGCTTCCTGAGCCTCAAGGCCACTGACACCTAGCACCAGTCCAGCCTGAAACCTGGCCTTTTCACCACTCCTTTGCGGCTGGCTGATTTCCTTTTTTTTAAATTAACTCTGCCTGCTTTTCAGTGCCTGCCATAATCTGGACCTCCCCCGAAGCCCAGACCTATGCCTGTTACTCTCAAAACACCCCGCTTTGCTCCAGCCAGGTCATTGTCTTCCCTCCTGGCTTCGTATCTTCATTAGTGTTATCCGTTTTTCTTAGAATTCCCTCTTAAATCCTGCGCACCCACGGAAATTCGGTTCAAATTTAACTTCCATTGAGTTTCTGCCGACTCCTGCAGCGCTTGCAGATTTTACTCGCCTCAGAAGCCATACGTGCAGTAGCATTGACTAGTAAACCATGGTGTAGTGTCTGTTTCAGGTGTGTGCATTTTGTTCTCCAACTGATCATTAAGTTTCTTGTGTCTCTTGACCTTACATTATTACAATCACTACGTACTCCACAGTGCCTAGTGCAGATTCTTGTTGATTGTGTAAGAGTCTCATCATCTAGAAGGAAGTGAAAAATCTCTTTCCATTGATTAAACTCAAACATCCTCACCACCCTGGAATCTTCTGTGCATCCTGGAGTGGAGAGTCCCCCCATCTTCTGTTTATTCCACATAATTTGATAGGCTTTGTTTTCTGTAGCTTATTTATGAAGACGATGACTTTCTTTTTCATCTTCCAAAGATAAAGTAACCTCATCCAAATCAGTGCTATAGGCACTGGGTAGCCATTGAAGGCTTTTGAGCAAGTAGTTGAGCAAGTGGAAGTCGGCTCCAGGGTTTTGATCCGTGGTGACTAACAAGAATAAGCTGATAGCATTAATAGAGTCTAGGAATCATAGCATTAGGATGGACTGGACTTAAGCGAACAGGTGAGGAAACCATCCCAAGAAAGCCCAGGAACCAATCCCTAGCTAAGGGGCAAAACTGGGACTGGGGTCCGGGTCTCTTGATGCCTGCTTGCAGCTCCTTGCAGTGTGAGTAGGGGGTCAAGAACCTGACCTCTTGAATTTAAAATGACTCCAAAGGGGCGCCTGAGTGGCTCAGTCAGTTAAGCGGCTGCCTTTGGCTCAGGTCATGATCCCAGGGTCCTGGGATCGAGCCCCGCGTCGTGCTCCCTGCTCGGCGGAGAGCCTGTTTCTCCCTCTCTCTCTGTCTGCCGCTCTGCCTACTTGTGCTCTCTCTCTATCTCTGTAAATAAATAAATAAAAATCTTTAAAAAAAATAAAAAATAAAATAAAATGACTCCAAAAACAAGTCGTAACTGCAGCTTCTCAAGTGAAAATGTCTTATAACCAAATAATCAAGTTAGCCCTTTGGCATCCGGTTAGAAAATGACCTCAGGCAGTAAAGAGCCGAGCTGGATTCCAGAGACAGTGTCTCCAGTGTACTTTGTACAAGTCTTTAGTTGCAGGTTCCCTGAGTGTTACTGTTTCTGTAATTCCAAAGTACATTTCTCTCCAAAGTTCATTTAACTATTTCACCTTTGAGGGGTATGGTTTGTAGAAATCCCTCATTGAGGGCTTTCAACTTTTTTTTTTTTTTAAAGTAAAGGGACTGTCTTATGCCGTTAAGTTTTCATAGTTACTGGAAAGAGCTCCTTTATAGCATTTATTTCTCTTTGTAATAGAATATGGGAATATGTTGTGTATCATGCCGTTTTTTGAGCCCATAACCTTTGAGAGAGGATTCGGTTTATTTTTTAAAAATAAAGTGTTTAAACTCCTTTGTTGTGAGAATGTGGCTCCTTTCTCCATGTATTAGCAGCAAGGTCTGTCATCCACGAACGAAGCTTATCTGCTAGGATGGTGCAAAGAACCATGGCTCCAGGTGTCTGGGCTAAATGAGCAACTGAGAGGAAAAGGGTAAAAATAGGACCTTACTCAATAATTCCTGTTCATTTTCAGGTGCTGTATATATTGACCAGTACTGCAATCCTCTCTCTGACATCAGCCTCAAAGATATCCAGGCCCAGATTGACAGCATTGTGGAGCTTGTTTGCAAAACCCTCCGGGGCATCAACAGTCGACACCCCAGCTTGGCCTTCAAGGCAGGTGTGGAATTGCTTTGGATCCAACTGTATTTGCAAAAGAAAACCTTGCAGAGGATTTGTGGATTTGAGAAACTCTGCAGGATGTTTCTATTATGCCACCAGAAAAGCAGTTAATGACACCACCATGTTCACCTGGAAGTGTGAAAGACTTTTTTTTTTTTTTTAAAGATTTTATTTATTTATTTGACAGAGAGAGAGAAAGAGAGCACAAGTAGGCAGAATGGCAGGCAGAGGGAGAGGGAGAAGCAGGCTCTCCGCCGAGCAGGGAGCCTGATGCGGGGCTCGATCCGAGGACCTCAGGATCATGACCCGAGCCGAAGGCAGCCGCTTAACCGACTGAGCCACCCAGGCGCCCCAAGACTTTTAAGTTCATATTCGTTTCTCCACCCTGGACTGGCGGCACCTGCTGGGTCCTGTTGGGAGACTGGTACGGGTTTGGGACACTGGTCACAACGTGGGGAGTGCTTGTGTCCTCAGAGTAGATCTCTGTGTTTCAGGTGAATCCTCCATGATAATGGAGATAGAACTCCAGAGCCAGGTGCTGGATGCCATTAACTATGTTCTTTACGACCAACTCAAGTTTAAGGGGAACCGGATGGATTACTATAATGCCCTCAACTTGTATATGCACCAGGTAAATGTGGGTGAATTAAAACAGAGTAATATGTATTTTTTAAGCTAATTTCTGACCAGTTGTATTGTTTTTGAGGGCAAATATATTGTCTTTTCATCTCTCAATGCCCAGTGAAACACATTTTTGCCTCTACCATCAGGATATTGCTATGGATTTTTATTTTTCTCAGTGTGAAAACCTTTGAGATCATTTCCTGTCTAGAAATAGGTATTTCTCTTACTTTGTTTGGTCAGTTTGTATCTTACAAACATGAAACCATGAAACCAGTCAGGTCTGTTTTCTGCACTGTCCTGTAGAATGCCCCGAGGAAATTTGGCCGGCCATATCATTGATATTTAGTTTTAATGTGCTTCGTCCTTAGCACCGTTTTCAAATCTATTCTGTTGCCCTGTATGTACCTTAAATTTTTTCTGTCGTATTTTAAACACTTTCCTTGAAATGGCCTTTCATTCTTTTTGGAAGAAGCACACCCTAAATCACAGATCTGCAAACTTTCTCTGTCAAGGGCCAGATGTTTTGGCTCTGTAGACCATAGGCTGTGTGTCCTCAGTGCTCAGGTCTGCCATTGGAATTGAAAGGAGGCACGGACATTGCAAAAACGAATAAGTGTGGCTGTGTTCCCATGAAACCTTCTATATGGACATGGAAATGGGAATTTCATGTAGTTTTTATGTGTTACGAAATAGTATTCTTTTCATGATTTTTCTAAAATACTAAAAAATGTTAAAACTCTTCTTATGCAGGCCATACAAAAACAGGCGATGGACTAGATTTGGCCCACAGACTGCAGTTTGCAGACCCCCGATCTAAATAAATCAAATATTGTCCAACAAAAACCTAGTGTCATTCCCAATGCACAGTGGGGGCCCTGTAAGAACTTTACGTTGCAGGAATGACAAGGTCTGGTTCCTTTCCATGAAGCTAAAGGATTTTTTTCTCCTTTAGGTTTTGATTCGCAGAACAGGAATCCCGATCAGCATGTCTCTGCTCTACTTGACAATTGCCCGGCAGTTGGGGGTCCCACTGGAACCTGTCAACTTCCCCAGTCACTTCTTGTTAAGGTGGTGCCAGGGTGCAGAAGGGTGAGCCACCTATGCCACATTGTGATTGGGCCTCAGGATTTACTCCCATGGTGCTGAGAGGAAGTGCAGGAACCGAACAGAGAAGTTCACCAGAGCACTGGGGGTGGGCCAGCTGTCTGGTTCCTTGGCCATCAGTGTCGAGATTCTGGTTCTGGGAGAAGGGCATTCTGGATTTTTCTGTATTCTTTCTTAAAGCTGCATGTGAATTTACAATTCTCTCTCTATATAAAGAGTAGGACTAGGAGCTCAGGGTTTTGGGTGGGTCTCTAAGTCCCTTGTTGCAAAGCAGATCAGATCAAAGAGGATTTTTGTTTTAAGGAATTTTGCTTATTTTTTTTTAAAGTGTATTTAAATTCCAGGTAGTTAACATACAGTGTAATACTAGTTTCAGGTGATGCAGCGCTTCGGTAGAGTATCTAGTACTCACCGCAAGTGCACGCCCTAATCCCCATCACCTATTTCATCCTTCCCACCACGTCCCACCCACCTCCCCTCTGGTAACCATCGACTTGTTCTCTGTAGTTAATAGTCTGTTTCTTGTTTTGCCTCTCTTTTTTTTCCCCTTTGCTCTTCTGTTAAATTCCACATATGAGTGAAATCATATGGTGTCTTTTTCTGACTTATTTTGCTTAGCTTTGTACTGTCTACGTCCATCCATGTTGTTGCAAATGGGAAGATTTCATTCTTTTTTATGGCTGAGTAATAATCCGTTGTGTATTAGTATACCACTTCTTTCTCCACTTATCTGTTGATGGACACTTGGACTGTTTCCACAGTTTGGCTATTGTAGAGAATGCCATTCTAAACTCATCCACACCAACGCCTATCGTTTCCTGTGTTACTGAGTTTAGCCATTCTGACAGGTGTGAGGTGATGGCTCCTTATAGATTTGATTTGCCTTTCTCTGATAATGAGTGATATTGAACATCTTGTCATGTGTCTGTTGGCTATCTGGATGTCTTCTTTGAGAAAATGTCTATTCATGTCTTCTGCCCAGTGTTTAACTGGATCGTTCGTTTTTTGGGTGCTGAGTTTTATAAGGGTTTGTTGTTTGTTTTTTTAATCTCTACACCCAACACAGGGCTCAAACTCACAACCCCGAGATCAAGAGTCGCACGTTTCACTGACTGAGCCAGCCAGGCACCCCAATATAAGTTCTTCATAGATTTTGGATACTAACCCTTTTTCAGATGTGTCATTTGCAAATATCTTATCCCATTCCATAGGTTGCCTTTTGGTTTTGTTGATTACTTCCTTCGCTGTACAGAGGCTTTTTATTTTGATGAAATCCCAGTAGTGTATTTTTGCTTTTGTTTCTCTTGCTTTTGTTTCCCTTGCCTCAGGAGACTTCTAAAAAGAAGTTGCTGTGGCTGATGTCAGAGAGGTTACTGACTGTGTTCTCTAGGATTTTAATGGTTCCATGTTTCACATTTAAGTCTTTCATCCATTTTGAATTTATTTTTGTATTTGATTCTTTTGCATGTTGCTGTCCAGTTTTCCCAACACCATTTGTTGAAGAGACTGTCTTTTTCCCACTGGATATTCTTTCCTGCTTTGTCAAAGTTTAATTGACCATATGATAGTGGGTTTATTTCTGGGTTTTCTGTTCTGTTCTATTGATCTATGTGTCTGTTTTTGTGCCAGTGCCATTTGTAGTATACTTGTAATACACAGCTTTGTAATATGCTTGAAGTCTGGAATTGTGATGCCTCCAGCTTTGCTTTGCCTTTTCAAGGTTGCTTTGGCTATTTGGGGTCTTTTGTAGTTCCATACAAATTTTAAGATTGTTCTAGCTCTGTGAAAAATGCTGGTGGTATTTTGATAGGGATTGTATTAAATGTGTAGATTGCTTTGGATAGTGTAGACATTTTAACAATATTTGTTCTTCCAATGCGTGAGCATGGGATGTCTTTTCATTTCTTTGTGTCATCTTCGATTTCTTTCATCAGTGTTTTATAGTTTTCAGAGTACCGGTCTTTCACTTCTTTGGTTAGGTTTATTCCTAAGTATCTTACTGGTTTTGGTGCAATTGTAAATGGAATTGATTCCTTATTTTCTTTTTCTGCGGCTTCGTTTTTGGTGTATAAAAATGCAACAGATTTCTGTAGGTGGATTTTGTATCCTGTGACTTTACTGAATTCGTGTATCAGTTCTAGCAATTATTTTGGTGGAATCTTTTGGGTTTTCTATATAGAGTATTGTGTCATCTGCAAATAGTGAAAGTTTGACTTATTCTTTGCCCGTTTGGATGCCTTTCATTTCTTTTTGTTGTCTGATTGCTGTGGGTAGGACTTCCAGTACTATGTAAATGACAGTAGTGAGAGTGGACATCCTTGTCTTGTTCTTGACCGTAGAGGAAAAGCTCTCTGTTTTTCCCCATTGAGGATGTTATTAGCTGTGGGTTTTTCATATATGGTCTTTATATTATGTTGAGGTATGTTTCCTCTAAACCTACTTTGTTGATTTTTTTTTTTTTTAAGATTTTATTTATTTATTGAGAGAGAATGAGAGATAGCATGAGAGGGGAGAGGGTCAGAGGGAGAAGCAGACTCCCCGCTGAGCAGGGAGCCCGATGTGGGACTCAATCCCGGGACTCCAGGATCATGACTTGAGCCGAAGGCAGTCGCTTAACCAACTGAGCCACCCGGGTGCCCTGTTGAGTGTTTTCATCCTGAGTGGATGTTGTATTTTGTCAAATGCTTTTTCTGCATCTATTGAAATGATCATCTCGTTCTTTTCTTTTATTAATATGGTGTATCACATTGATTGATTTGTGACTATTGAACCACCCTTGCAACCCAGGAATAAATCCCACTTGATTGTAGTGAATGATTCTTTTAATGTATTGTTAGATTCGGTTTGCTAGTATTTTGTTGAGAATTTTTGCATCCATGTTCTTCAAGGATATTGGCCTGTACTGTTTTTGTTTTAAGATTTTATATATTTGAGAGAGAGAGAGTGTGTGCCCACACGCGTGCACACGTGTGCAACAATGTGGGGAGGGAGAAGGACAGGCAGACTCCATGCTGAGCGTGGAGCCTGACTCAGGGCTCAGTCTCATGACCCTGTGATCATGACCCCAGCCGAAATCGAGTCTGATGCTCAACTGACTGAGCCACCCAGCACTCCTGTAGTTCTCTTTTTTAGTGGAGTTTTTATCTGATTTTGGAATCAAGGTAATGCTGGCCTCATAGAAGGAATTCGGAAGTTTTCCTTCCTTTTCTATTTTTTGCAATAGTTTAAGAAGAGTAAGTAGTAACTCTTCTTTAAATGTTTGGTAGAGGGGTGCCTGGATGGCTCAGTCATTAAGCGCCTGCCTTCGGCTCAGGTCATGATCTCAGGGTCCTGGGATCAAGCCCCGCATCGGGCTCCCTGCTCAGCGGGAAGCCTGCTTCTCCCTCTCCCACTCCCCCTGCTTGTGTTCCTGCTCTCACTTTGTCTCTCTCTGCCAAATAAATAAATAAAATCTTTAAAAAGTAAAAAAAAAATAAATGGTAGAATTTACCTGTGAAGTCATCTGGCCTTAGACTTTTGTTTGTTGGGAGATTTTTTTTTCATTACTGATTCAATTTCTTTGCTGGTTATTGCTCTGTTCAAGTTTTCTATTTATTTCTGTTTTTTTTGGTAGTCTACATGTTTCTAGGAACTTGTCCATATCTTCCAGATTGTCTGATTTGGTGACATACAATTTTTCATATTCTCTTACAATTGTATATATTTCTCTGGTGTTGGCTGTTATTTTTCCTGTCTCATTTGTGATTTTATTTATTTGGGTCCTTTCTCCTTTTGAAAAGTCTGGCTAGAGGTTTATCAATTTTATTAATTTTTTTCAAAGAACCAATACCTGGTTTCATTAATCTGTTCTACCAGGGGTGTTTTTGGTTTGTTTCTGTATTGTTTACTTCTCCTCCTGTCTTTCCTGTTTCCCTTCTTCTGCTGACTTGAGGTTTCATTTCTTGTTCTTTTTCCCTCTCCTTTAGGGGTAAGGTTGGATTGTTTATTTCAGATTTTTCTTGCTTCTTAAGGTGTTATATTGCTTTATTGCTATATAGTTCCCTCTTATGACCACCTTTGCTACAACCCAGAGGTTTTGGACAGTTGTGTTTTCATTTTCATTTATTTTCATGTATTTTTTTAATTTCTTCTTTGATTTTCTGGTTGACCCATTCATTGTTTAGTAACATGCTATTTAATCTCCACATATTTGTGGTCTCCAAATTTTTTCTTGTGGTTGACTTCAAGTTTCATAGTGTTGTGATCAGAAAAGATGCATGGTATGATCGCAATCTTTTTGTATTTGTTGAGGCCTGATTTGTGACCCAGTATGTGTGATGTGTTCTGGAGAATGTCCCACGTGTACTTAAAAAGAATGTGTATTCTGCGGTTTTAGGATGAAGTGTTCTGAATATATCTGTGAAGTCCATCTAGATCAAAGAGTTCTTAAAGAAAGTCTTACTTTGTAGTCTTCCATTAAATCTCCCCCTCTCTCCCTCCTCACCAGACAGAGAAGGGGGGGAGGGCACAGAAGGAGGTGGGGGAGAGGACAGAGTAGCTACGTTCTCACTCACGTGCAAAGCAAATGCTCGATTTCTTATCAGCTGGAGATTAGCTTTTCTGAAAGAAACAGTTCATCAAATAGGCAGAACTGTCTTCTCATTAAATGTGCCATTTAGAGGAAAAAGAAACAACGTTATTGAATTATATCCTGTTCTTTGAATGACCATGATACCCTCTGGTGAGTGGAATAATAGAAAATAACTGAGCTTTGAAGTGGGGCAGAGTTCAGACCTCAGCTTCCTCTGAGCCTCAGTTTTTTATTCTGTGAAAATGGGGCACATGTTTTTGAAGTGGTTTGGAGGATTGAGATGACCCAGTGCTTTACACATCTAGTAGAATTTGTGATGCATACCTAGAAGAAAGGTGTAACTTATCTCTGTATTTCGTTTTTTTGTTGTTTTTTTTTTTAAGATTTATTTATTTGAGGGGTGCCTGGGTGGCTCAGTCGTTAAGCATCTGCCTTTGGCTCAGGTCATGATCCCGGGGTCCTGGGATTGAGCCCTGCATCGGGCTCCCTGCTCCGTGGGAAGCCTGCTTCTCCCTCTCCCACTCCCTCTGCTTGTGTGCCCTCTCTCACTATGTCTCTCTCTGTCAAATAAAATCTTTAAAAAAAAAAAGATTTATTTGAGAGCGAGCGTGCACACATAAGGTGGGGGAGGGGCAGAGGGCAAGGGAGAGAGAGAATCTCAAGCAGACTCCACACTCAGTGTGGAGCCCGACTTTGGGGCTCCATCCCAGGATCCTGAGATCATGACCTGAGCCGAAATCAAGAGTCAGACATCCGCTCAACTAGCTGAGCCACCCAGGCGCCCCACTTGTCTCTATATTTCTACACCTAGTTTAAGAAATAAAACATATCGTTGGAACCTCCTGGCTATGCTTCCTCATCCCCTTCTTCCTCCTCTGCTCTGCAGAGATATCCACCAGTTAATCTGAAAGTTTTGTTATTTCCATGCAATTTTTATAGTTCATTACATATGTATATTTCCTTAAATGGTATGTATGGGCTTCCCTTCTTTTCCAAATATCTATTTCTGAAAATGTGTTGCATGGCTTCTTTTTTGGATAGCAGACACCCATTTTCTGTTATCGTAAATGGGAAATACGCTTTTTCAGCCCATTCTCTCTCCCTAAATAACCCAACCAATTTCCCCAAATACCTCAGAAATATTCTTAAATGACCATGTCGTAATCCACCAAGGATCTCTTCCTGATATAAAGCATTTAAAACTCCCAATTACCATATTATTTGCCATAGTACCTTATTGCTGGGTACAGTTGTGTGTGGTAACTGTCATTTTTCCTTAGGCTACAGCGAACGTACACTAGCAGTGCAGCTGAGCGATGAAGTAATTTGTTAGCACCCCAGGCACCTGGCAGAAGTAAACATTGAGCCCCCTGGCTGGGTCCTCAGGAAAGAGGGGAAGCTGGTGAGAATAGTGGGGGATACACCACTCCTGAGGCATCAGCGGGGCTGCAGGCCCTCCACGTCCTCATTTCCACCCATGTTCCTCGTGCCTTTGGTCACGGCTCTGTCCCTGCACCAAGACCATATTGTCTTACTTACTGTAACTTTATCATTAACTAGGACCTACTGGTCAGACCCCCATCGAGTTCTTCAAAATTCCCTTGGCTGTTCTTAGCCTTTTGCTCTTCTATAGATTTAGAATCCCTTTACCAGGCTTCTTCAAAAGCCCGTACGGATATTGATTGGCACCAGAGCCTGCTTTGGTTTGGATTCATAGATGAATATGAGCAATATTGTCAGTGTTTCACTACTGAGTCTGTTTGTGAACGTGATACCTCCCTACATATTTGTCTTTGATGTCCTTAAGATTTTTATTTATTTACTTACTTTTAGAGAGGGAAGGGGAGAGGGAGAGAAAGAATCTTAAGTAGGCTCCACACTCAGCTCAGAGCCCGACTCGGGGCTCAATCTCATGACCCTGAGATAATGACCTGAGCCAAAATCAAGAGTTAGACGCTTAACTCAGTGAGTCACCCAGGTGCCCCCTTAAAAAGATTTTATTGTTTTCTTCATGGAGTTCTTTGACTTTTTGCTAGTTTTATTCGTTAAGAGCCTTAAAATTTTGTTGCTATTGTAAATGGTAATTTTTAAAATTACATTTATTAAATGATGATACGTAGGGATAAGGTTGATATTTAGATATAGATCTGATAATCCCTTTGTGGAATAAATTATTAGAGCTCATTGTCAACTCTTGGGTTTTCTGTATAGAGCGTCATACTGCCTGTGAATCATGACAGTTTTGTTTCTTTTCTTTCTAGCCCTTGTACGTTTCTGTTTCTTGTACTTATTCTGCTGACTGGGTCCTCTTGCACAAAATTGAGTAGAAACAGTGATAGCGGGTGCCCTTGTCTTAGGGTAGGACTTTAAGTGGAATGCTTTTATTTATTTATTTTTTTTTTAATTTTTTTTTTTAAGATTTTATCCATTCAGGGACACCTGGGTGGCTCAGTCGGTTAAGCATCTGCCTTTGGCTCAGGTCATGATCCCGGGGTCCTGGAATCAAGTCCTGCATCGGGGTCCTTGCTCAGCATGGAGCCTGTTTCTCCTTCTGCCTGCCACTTCCCCTGCTTGTGCGCTCGCTCGCTCTCTTTGTCTCTCTGACAAATAAAAGCTTTAAAAAATAGATTTTATCCATTCATTTGAGAGAGCACAAGCAGGGGGTGGAGCATTGGAGGGAGAAGGAGAAGCAGACTACCCACTGAGCAGGGAGCCTGATGCGGGACTTGATCCTAGGACCCTGGGATCATGACCTGAGCCAAAGGCAGACGCTTAACCAGCTGAGCCACCCAAGCGCCCCTAGGTGGACTGCTTTTAGAATTTCATCGTCAAGCATGACGTTTGGGGTATTTCCTTTCATTGGGATTATCAGAGCTGCCTTCTAAATTTCTAGTTTGCTTCAGTTTTATTAAAAAGTGGGCATTAGGGGAGCCTGGGTGGCTCAGTTGGTTAAGCGTCTACCTTCGACTCAGGTCATGATCCTGAGGCCCAGGGATCGAGTCTCTCAGTGGGGAGCCTGCTTCTCTCTCTCCGTTCCACTTCTCCTGCTTGTGCACTTTCTCTCTCTCTCTGACAAATAAATAAATAAAATCTTTAAAAAAAAAAAGTGGGCATTAGATTTTTTTTTTTAAAGATTTTATTAATTTATTAGAGAGGGAGATCACGAGCATGGGAGAGGAGCAGAGGGAGAAGCAGGCTCCCCGCTGAGCAAGGAGCCCGATGAGGGACTCAATCCCAGGAACCCGGGATCATGACCTGAGCCAAAGACAGATGCTCCCACTGAGCCACACAGGCACCCAGCATTAGATTTTTTTCCCCCCAAAATCTCTTGTGTCTGCTTATCATATCGTTTTCTCTTTTAGACTGTGTGTGCTGAAATAGATTTTTTAACATTCAATTCTTTCATTCTTGAGGTACATCTATCTTAGTCATATGGATTTTTAAAAATACATTGTTGTATGATTTGCTTGTGTTTTATTTAGGATTTTTGTCTATAAATTTGTGTATATATGCGTGGTTCTCCTAGACTCATAAAAAAAGTTGAAGAGCATCCCTTGTTTCTGGAACATTCCATCTGTCTTGCCAGAGAAAGGATATTGATAGGACTCTAGGAAGGAATCTGCCTGGGCTTTTTAAAGCGGCCGAAGAGAACATCTCTTACATGGCTTGCAGTGGGCCTAAGATCAAGAAAAAATATACAATGATCCCTGAAACAAAGACCCACTAAATCCCTCAGGAATCCTCATAGAATGTTCTTGGTAATGCAGTGAGGACTTGCTTTGTGTGACCTCCTACCACGGCTCCACTCAGTGAGGGCTACCACCTTGTCCAAGAGCACGGTTCATGGGAGGGGCGGTGTGGTCAAGTGCAGGGGCTCTGCTCTCTGGTCTGGCGCGCGCTCCCAGGCTGAGCCCTGGCTGACCACCTGAGCATGTCTGCGGAGTTGGGGCAGAGCACTACGGGGCCGGGCTCTGTAACTTTCCTCACAGCCCCAGGGACCCATGGCCCACAGACACGAACTGTGCCAGTCTGCAGAGTGCATAGAGGCCTTGGGCCGAACATCAGATTGAGCATCTTGTAGACCAGGTCAATAAATTCTAGTTCTCAAACTTGGTTTAATCTGGCTTAATCTCCCCCCAAAACTCTGTTTGATAGCATACATCAATGCTGTTCCTTAAACATCTGTGTCTTGCAGTCTTTTTTTTTTTTTTTTAGATTTTATTTATTTATTTGAGAGAGAGAGACAGAGCGAGCACAAGTGGGGAGGAGAGGGAGAAGCAGGCTTCCCGCGGAGCAGGGAGCCTGATGTGGGAATTGATCCCAGGACCCCGGGATCATGACCTGAGCCAAAGGCAGACGCTTAACCAACTGAGCCACTCAGGCACCCTGTGTGTCTTGCAGTCTTAACGCAGCAGGGCATGTATAAAGGGTCAGATTTTGAACTTTAGACAAGGCTTTAATATTTTAAGTAGAAATGCTGCTGTGTTGATATTCAGGCTCTAATTTGAGCTACTTACCGGTGTGGGGGCGGGGTGGCGGTTAGATACTGCCTTGTTCAGCTCTGACCCGAGATCTGGCTAATAACTGCGTGTGCCGTTCTCATAGGGCAAGCCTGGACATCTTTGACTACATCTACATAGATGCCTTTGGGAAGGGGAAGCAGCTGACGGTAAAGGAGTGTGAATACTTGATCGGCCAGCACGTGACAGCGGCGCTGTATGGGGTGGTCAACGTGAAGAAGGTGTTACAGCGAATGGTGGGAAACCTTTTAAGCCTGGGAAAGCGGTAAGGTTTTCTTGGTTTTCCAGCACTTGTGCTGAGTGCATGTGTTTGGAGGCACCTATGGCCTTACAGAGGATTTTATTCGATGTGCTAATGGTGGCTCCGGCGAGGCCGTGGATGCTATGGGGCACAGTTGGGATTATCTACAGCGGTCGACCCACTCTGGGAAGAAACTCGTCCCTGGGACATGGTGCTGTCCTGGTTTAAGATGTGCTAAGTGACTCCTCCAACACCTTCGCGGTGCACTTGTGCAAGCTCTCCCTAATACTGAAAGCATTCTTCAGTAACAAGAGTATTTTAGATGGGTAAGGGGCAGGATGTTCTCACGTCCAAGTGCTTTGTTGTCTCTTGATTTATACATTTCTATCACTTAAATAAGAAACAAAAGTATGAAACTATTTTGCATCTGAGTCAAAGGAAATTTGTCTTACAGGGATGTTGGAGTCATAGTTTTCTGCCTCATGGTAGAATTCTTTGTGTCTTTTTAAATAGATTTTTTAATTTTTTATTTATTTTTTAAAGATTTTATTTATTTGAGAGAGAGAATGGGATAGAGAGAGCATGAGAGGGGGGAGGGTCAGAGGGAGAAGCACACTCCCCGCTGAGCAGGGAGCCCGATATGGGACTCGATCCCGGGACTCCAGGATCATGACCTGAGCCAAAGGCAGTCGCTTAACCAACTGAGCCACCCAGGCGCCCCTTAAATAGATTTTTTTAGAGCAATTTTAGGTTCATAACAAAATGGAGCAGAAAGTACAGAGAGTTCTCCTATCGCCCCTGCCCTTCCCCGCCCCCCAGACTCCCCCACTATCACCGTCCCCCATCAGAGCGGGACATTAGTTACAGTCAGTGAACCGCCACGGCCGGGTCATTAACAGAGTCTGCGGTTCACATTCAGCTTCACTCTTGGTGGTGTGCATTCTGTGGGTCTGGATAAATGCATAATGACATGTATCCACCATTGTGGTATCGTACGGAACAGTTTTCCTGCCCTAAACGTCCTCTGTTCACCCTCTATTCAGAATTTATTAGTTATGTACAGTGTTACTGAGGTGACTATATAATGGAAGTGCTTATGATTTTAATGCCCATCACCAAAGCAGGTACAAAAGCTCGGTTTCTTCTGGGATTTATCATTATTACTAAAATCATTGTAACTATTTGCTGAGCAGAAAGGAAGAATTAGAACAGGTGTGGCATTTGTGTCCATTACTTTCACAACCTGGGCCTTGAAAAAGAGGGTCTCTGCTCAGAAGCAAGCAGAGCCAGACCGTGATTTATCTCCCCTGCCAGGGAGGGCATCGACCAGTCCTACCAGCTCCTGAGAGACTCGCTGGATCTGTATCTGGCGATGTACCCGGACCAGGTGCAGCTCCTCCTCCTTCAGGCCAGGCTCTACTTCCACCTGGGGATCTGGCCAGAGAAGGTAATTATTTTCCTTTGCTGCTTTGCTCCTGCCTGAGAGAGGGAGATTCTAGCTGGAAAGGCGGCTCTCGGAAGCTTATCCTTGCATCAGCCTGGGGGATAAACATAAATTGATTCACTCTCCTGATCTTGACGCATCAGTTAAATGTTTTTGGTCTCCTTTATTCTAAAAAAGTTGGTTATACTGCTAGGAGTTGCCTGTTCTCTTTGTGGTCCGTGCCTTAAACCCCTAGAACCACAAGGCCTCAGCTCTGCGATTTACCCGCTGCTGCCCAACATGTGTTTGCCCCAGGTCACCCCAACTCTGCATAGGGAACCAAAACTTTAAATGTTCCCCGTCCAGCCGTGCTGGTAGCATGGAAACGGACCGTGCATAAACACCCCTGTTTGACAAGGAAAAAATGGATCTTAGATGGATTCTTCGGGTCTGGCTGCTGGCCTTGAAGGACTGTCTCTGGCGTTGAAAGCTGTTGAATTCTGATACAGTTGCACTTGGGCTTCTCGGTTTCCTGATGGCCCCTGCGGCCGGCGGCAAGCACTCTGAAAGGACTGCGGTGAGTGCGGTCAGAAACGCTCCTCAGCGAGCTGGGGAAGCGGCAGGGGTGTGCGTCCAGTGGCCCCAGAGTGGAAAGCAGCTGCGCATTTCCATCGTGCCCTGGCTTTGCCGTGGAATAGGCTAGTGATCCATTTTATCTGTTAGAGCAGCCTGCCGAGAGAATTTTCGTTCTGAGTGCTCACAGGGACGTCACCATGCTCATATTAGAGAGTGGTAAATAGTCTTGACTCCACATTGCATAGATTTATTTATTTTTTTAATATTTCATTAATTTATTTGATAGAGACACAGCAAGAAAGGGAACACAAGCAGGGGGAGTGGGAGAGGGAGAAGCAGGCTTCCCGCGGAGCAGGGAGCCTGATGCAGGGCTTGATCCCGGGACTCTGGGATCACGACCTGAGCCGAAGGCAGACGTCTAATGACTGAGCCACCCGGGCGCCCCCACATTGCATAGATTTAAATTGGCTCATTTATTCTGCACTTCAGAGATCTCACATAGTTCTTAAGGAAGGGCGGGCGCATCAGTAGGAAAGTCCTGCGGGACCTATCTTAAGATGCCATGTGTCGTCCAGGTAGCAGATGTCCTTCCAGAACATCCTGTGAGCTGGTAGAACTAGATTCTCGACTGAAGCGACCGTCTACTTCCCAGGACCCCCTTGTCCAGAGCTCAGTTGTTTGTCTTTTTTTTTTTTGCACTTTATTTTTGATCCTGGGGTCTACGAAACTCATTCCTGTCACTTTTTTAATTAAGGAATTTTGTGATAATTTGTAGAATGCAGAGACCCTCTCAAAGGATGGCTTTTTATAAGTAAATTCTGTACTTTAATGACACATCAGCCTTAGAAGGGGTAAGGTGAACCTTGGAATTAGCGTGGCCTTATTAGGTAAAAGGGAAACGTTTCCATACGTGGGAAGATGGGAAAGTCACTTTGTTTTCAATTGAAGTAAATCAGGAAGAGCTAAGAAACAGGTCCACTGGGTCACGGTGGCCAAAACCCAGGGCCACTGTGGCCGTGACGGAGGGAGTGGGATATAGCCGCGTTTGAAAAGGTCGCTGGCGCTTAGCACACACCTCCTTCCGACCCCGTGGGGTGGCTGCTGGGTTTTTGCCATTCTGTAGATAATGAAACAGGCGGCAGAAGTCGGATAACCTGCTGAGGCCACCCACGCAGGTGTCAGTGGCTCCGGCGTTGTGGGAGGGCAGTTTGGCGCCTGAGCCCCCCCTCACACCTCACCCCTGTGGGCCAGCAGGCTACAGGGCGACGGTGAAGCCCGCACCCGGGGCGTGTTCTGCTTCCTGTTGCCGGACCTCCCTCCTCGCTCTGCATCCCGCTGGGAAAGATGTCCTTCCAGTTTTCCAGGGCAACCCTCTGTGCTCTGGATTCCACTGTGTTTTCCTCTGTCTACAACTCCCTGTTTCTGCTGTCCACCATCAGCATTCTGCTGACTCCAGTATCTCTCATCTTTGGGAGAGAAGATAAAAGGCACGCCTGTGACAGCCCCGCGGGCATCCCCTGTGGCTGCCTCCTTATCTCTCTCCTCCCTGCAGGGCTCAGGCCCCGGCCGGCCAACCGTGCCATGTGATGGCCGCCTGCCTTGCCTCCCACGCATGCCCCAGAACGTGGCGGTCATTCCCCCTGCATACACGCCGCTCTTGCCAAGGGAGCCAGTGACCCCTTTTTACTGAAAGCATTCTTGTCGCCAGATCCATAGATACTCGTCTTTCCTTATCTCTCTTGATCACTGGGACAGCTCGCCGTTCAGAACGCTCTGTGCCTTCGACTCTGTGGCCTGTGGTTCTCAGGCCCTTGCTAGTTCCCTATCCTGTGTTTCTTCCCCAGAGGCTCCGCACTGCGGGGTAGTTTCTTAGACTTCTGTTGATCCTACACCTTTCCCCGAGGTGGTACCGCCTGGCCTCCTTGCTTCAGTTACCATGTGTAGGCTCACAGCTCCTGACTGACGTCCTGCCTGGATCCTGGGCTCCAGACCAACACCCCCCCCATGTCCACTGCACGTCTGCACGTGGCTTTGTCTCCTGGACTCTTGCAGAGGCCACCTACCTGCTCTTCCCTCCCTCTTAGACCCTTTGAACCCGTTTTACACAGTGCAGCCGGAGTCACTTTCATAAAGTGCTCAGAGCCCTCTGAGGGGCTACACTAGTGCCTTGCAGATCTGGCTCATTCTCTGCAGGAAGGCTTACTAGGTTCTCGGGGGTCTGGCCCCGCCAGCCTGAGCTTCCTCGGCTCTCACGGTTGCCCCGTTGGTGCTCTGCCACCCGGCCTCCACTCGTCCCTGGTCTCTTGCCTTGGTCCTTGGCACGGCCCGCAGCACCGCCTAAAACACTTTCCTTAGCCTTCAGTCCCATTTGTTGGCTACCTTTTGCCGAGCTTCAGCTTCACCGCTGAAAGCCCTTCCTCGGTCCCTCCACGGCAGTCAGCTTCCCCCGGCCCACCAGCTGTGTGCTCGTCTGTTCGAAGACCTTTCTGTAAGTGTACCGTGGCTGCTTGTTTACTGTGCCTTCGCTGTGGACTAGGCTCTCCAAAGACCACATTTGCTTTGTTCTTCACCGTAGCTACTCCCCTTGCTCTTAACACCATTCCCACGACATGGTAGGTGCTCAGAAAGATGTTGGAATGTAGGATTAAGAAGTGTCGGAACTTCATTAGATAATGAGGCAGAGGATGTCCAGCTTTTCCAACAAGGAAGACTGGCCACATTAAGAGTGAGTGAGTGGAGAACAGACTTGTTTCAGGGGCAGGGGAAAGTGTTCAGTTTGGGGTATGTTGGATTTGGTACAACCTGGGGCCCATGAAGGGCAGCTGCCTGAGGGCATTCAGCAGGGGCTTCCCACATCAGCACCCGGTGGCTGAAGCCCCAGAAGCAGCTGAGATCACAGACAAGTGGATGTCTGAGGTGGTGAAGCCACGCGCATCGTAGAGAGCCACAGGGGAAACCTGTAGTTAGGACAGAACAGGGCCGGCAGACTCTGGCACCTGGCTTTGTGCAGTTTCATTGAAGGCACATCTCTAATAAAGCCCATTTGTTTACTCTCTGTCTCTGGCTGCTTTCCAGCCGCAAGGGGCAGAGAAGAGTGGTTGAGTCGGAGACCATATGGCCCACAAAGCCTGAAGTATTTGCTCTCTGGCTCTTTACGGTAAAAGTTGCCAATCATGAGTGATAGACCCCTTCCCCTCCTCCCCCCCGTTCTTAGATCTCTATCCCCAAAATTGTGGGCTGGGATTACTGGCCTAGACATTTGGTTGGAGACATCATGGCACCCCACCATCAGTGCTGTCCTTCAGGAGCACACCAGGGCCCCATCCTAGTATCTTTTCTGTTTCTGCCCTCTCCCTTCACCCTGTTGTCCACACGTCAGGAGAAGGAGGCTGTAATTACCCCTGAACCTTCTCTCCTCCTGATACTCTGAGTGAGTTGGAGACTTCCTCTTTGCTTAGAAGAGTTACATCTGTTCCACTTATCTGCTAGGGAGGGGCTGCTAGTTCAGGAGGGGAGCTGTGTCTGCAGAATGTCTCGGAAGTGCAGTCAAAGTACTTTGACTGTGGTCGACCCTTGTGCAACCCGGGGGTTGGGATGCTGGCCCCGATGCAGTTAAACATCCACATATAACTTGACTCCCCCAGAACTTAACTAGCACCTTGCTGTTGACCAAAGCCTTACTGATAGCAAATAGTTGATGAACATATTTTGTGTTACAGGAAAACATACTGTATTTTTATAATAAAGTAAGCTAGAGGAAAGAAAATGTTACTAAGAAGATCACAAAGAGAAAATAGATTTATAGCCTTGTGCTAGAAACAGTCCTTGTGTAAGTGGGCCCACGCAGTTCAGACCCGTGTTGTTCAAGGGTCAGCTGTACTGGGAACTGCGTATGGGACACACGGGAAGCCGTATGCAAGCATAGGAAATAGAAGCTCACCATTCAAATCCCATGCTTTTAGCTACAAAGGATAGATATTGTTTGTGTCCCCCAAATGAAAGCACACTACTAGAGGTGGGATGTGGGTGGAAATTGGCTCTCAGTTGCTACTGGTTGAAGCTGGGTTTGAGGCACTTAGGGTTATACCATTCGGTCCATTTTCTGGACAGTGAATTAAAATGCTCCTGCTCTCGCTTTGGTAAGATGGTGGTTGAGACCTGAGATTTAAGAGTCAGCCTTAGGTCCACATCCTCCCTCCCCTCACAGCCCCGGGACCTCAGGCAAGTTCCTTAACTTCACAGTGTCTGATTCTGCTTCTGGAAGTCCACACGGATAGTACTGCTGACCTTTCAGCTTGGGAGGAATAAATGAAGTAAGAGACATGATGGGCTGGGCACAGTGATCAGCAGAGAAGCAGTGTTCAGTGAATGTGGAGATTCTGCAAGACTCAATCTGGAAGGCAAGATTAGTTTTTGGAATAACATCCTACATTGCGAAAAACTAGTTTTCACAACACTTTTACTGGGTCAAAATATATCAGGAAAATAGGACAGTTATTAATCATCTTTTGATAAGTGAATAAACTAATTTAAAGGTAAAACCAGCCAGTTTGATGGATCTGGGACTAGAATCCAGGTCATTCTGTCTGCTCGTGTGCTGTCTTAGGACTCCGTAAAGAGGAAGAGATCCTGTTCCCCAAGGAGGGACGTGTCCGAGAGCCTCTGCTGAATGCTGTAATAGAATGGGCGCTGAATGATTGTGTGTGTGTAAAACTTTATTTGAATTTGCATTTTACCTTAGAGGCACTGTGTACAGTAGGAAAAACCGTGACCTTGGAGTCAGACAGTTCTGCTGCTAGCCGCTTAGTCGTTTCCATTCCACGGAGACGTGGTCTCTCCTTGCCCACTTGAGTACAGCGATCCACTGGGAGTTCCAGTAATTGAAACGATCAGTACGCTTTCGGAACCTGAGACACATCTTCATCAGCTCAGCTAATTTGCATCGCTCAGGTGGCTTCTGTGTCGCCCCTTCCACCTTGTGCAGCAGAGGCAGCTCTGTCAGATGTCCCCTTGATCTGGACCGAAACAGCTTAGCAGTTCTTTTACCTCTCAGTTGACGAGTGGCAGTTCAAAATCGTTTCCTTTCTCTGTATGAAAAACAGAATCCCCACACTGACCGAGAGTGTTAGAACCTTTTCAGAGTTCTCTAATCCAGACGTGCCCATGGGTGGCAGGCCTGGCCTCCTCTCCCCGTGCTAATTCCAGCAAACTGTGTTTCTGAGTAACTCCCCTGTTCCCGTAGGTTGGATTTGAAGGTCTGGGGCCAGTGCCCAGCCTTAGAAGGGAGACCACCAACTCACAGACACGTGGGCCATCAGCATAGCCCCGCCTTGCCGTCCTTTGTCAGGTTATGTAGGTCTAAATCCCGTGCCGTGAAAAAGAAAAGGCCTAAATGAAAATATTATCTCCTAGTCTTTCTGTCTTGTCTTGAAGGTGCTTGACATCCTCCAGCACATTCAAACCCTAGACCCCGGGCAGCACGGGGCGGTGGGCTATCTGGTGCAGCACACGTTAGAGCACATTGAGCGCAAGAAGGAGGAGGTGGGCGTGGAGGTGAAGCTGCGCTCCCATGAGAAGCACAGAGACGTCTGCTACTCCATTGGGCTCATTATGAAGCATAAGAGGTGAGTGCCTGTGGTGTCTGTCCCCACGAGGCTGCAGAGGACGCGCGGCGTGCCCCGAGCACGCTTCTCAGGAGCCACTGCGTCCCAGTGTCCACCGCAGAAAGCTGTTCTGAACCGGATCTACGCTTTTTGTTCTGTCAGAAGGGACTCGCTTTCCTCACTGCGAGTCTTCTGACGGACGATCTGTAAGCAGCGAGTTTGTTTTTCTCATTTCCGCATTGTCCTGATGCTTCTTTTCATCTGCACCCCCTTGAATCTGAGCTGTGGGTGGGGTTTGCTGGGTCGTCAGGCACGTGCGTGGCCGACTCCTGGGTGAGATTAGACTGTCTCCACGCAGCTGTGCTGCACGTCCCACCGGCAGGCTAGGAGGGGAGGGTCCCTGTTCCCACTGACCTGTGTTCTCGCCAGACCTTTGAGAATGGACTTACGTAGTAAATGACAAATAGAATTGCGTTGTGGTTTTTGTTTGCATTTCCCAGATTGCAATCTGATTATGCAGATTGACTGGTAAATGTACAAAAAGAAGCTCCTTCAAGTTTCCTTTTATGAAGCACCTCTTCACGTATTCTTATTTTTCACTTGAGTCATTTGTCTTTCTTGTTGGTTCGTAGGCCTGTGTCCTGCTGCTAGTGTCTATATGCGTATATGTTGCAAATACCTTTTCCCAGTTTGGGGCTAGTGTTTTTCATTTTTTTATTGCATTCTTTTTTTTTTTTTCCCCAACTTCATTATGGAAATTTCAGATATACATCAGTAGAGATGAGTATAGTGAACCAAGAGATGCTCCCATACCCAGCTTTGGCCATTGTGAGGGTTAGCCTTCACTGTTCCCCACCCACCCACCTCCCTAGGCCCGTACCAGACATTCCCTCTGTGACTGTTGCAGTATGTGTACCTAAAAGGTAAAGGCTTGTTCTGTTGTTCACAAGTACATTTACCGTCCTCTTGTCGTACCTAAGGAAAGACAAACAATTCCTTCATCTCGTCAGATCAGTCTAGTCAGAGTTCCTGTTGCCCTGGTTGCCCTGTATGTTTTTTAACAGTCTGCTTGGATCTGGCTCCTGTAATACTGTTAATTTGATTGAGTACTCTTTGCCTTTAGGGGCTGAATTTTTCATACCTGGTTTAAGGAATCTTAAACCTGTCCTGTGTCATGAAACTGTCTTTTATATCTAGGCCTTTGTCCCACTAATATTGTGCATTGCTCTCAGGCCTGAGTCTTGATACCCTTTCCATTTGGATAACCAGTTGTCCCATGACGGTTGGTTGAAGTTTATTCTTTTCCAACTGAGGTATGCTTTGTTGATAAGAGGGGCTTATGAAGGGGGCTAAGAGTGTCCTGAAAATGCTTAACAGGGATAAACGCGGTTAAGTTTGTAAGGACATGAGCTTAAGAGAACCAAGCCATTATTTTATTTATTTATTTATTTTTTTTTATTTTTTTTATTTTTTAAGATTTTGTTTGTTTATTTGACAGAGGGAGACATAGCAAGAGCAGGAACACAAGCAGGGGGAGTGGGAGAGGGTGAAGCAGGCTTCCCGCAGAGCAGGGAGCCCGATGTGGGACTCGATCCCAGGACCGTGGAATCATGACCTGAGCCGAAGGCAGATGCTTAAGGACTGAGCCACCCAGGCGCCCCAAGCCATTATTTATATGTCCCATAGTCGCCATGACAGGGTCCCAGGGAACTGATTTGCCATTGCTCTTATGTTAATTAGGTATGGCTATAACTGTGTGATCTATGGTTGGGACCCCACCTGCATGATGGGACACGAGTGGATCCGAAACATGAACGTCCACAGCCTGCCTCATGGCCATCATCAGCCTTTCTATAATGTTCTGGTGGAGGATGGTTCTTGTAGATATGCAGCCCAAGGTAAGTAGCTAGTTCTTTGTGTACCTGTAATTAAGCACACATTTGACCACTGTGCTATTGTGGGCATAGTCATCAGTGTTATTGAGAGATGACAGTTGTTCCATGGCTAACCTCATCAGCGCTGATACTCTGCTAAATGTGGATAGGTGTGCTCTAGTGTGGCCATGCCATGGGGTAAATAGTCACTGCCCCCAGATTCTTCCCTCCATCACCACCATACCCAGGACCCTGTTCCAATGCTGTTGCCAGTCTCTGTTCTGATTGGTCATTACCTTTGCCAATCAAATTCCCAAAAGTCTTGCTTGCCAGGCCTTGCAGTTGGCTCCTTTCAGGCAAAGAGGGCCAGCCTGTGCCCTGCCCCCATGGCCTGTCTGAACTGAAGGACAATGAGTGGACACTGTTGGGGGGACTACCCTAGCAGCCTCTGGCACCCTGAGACTGGCATCCAGCTGTGCTCCCCCGGAGAAGCCCTCGAGTGGCCACGATGGGAGCTGCAGTCCACAGCACTGGCTGAGAGCTCCTGGTGGTCAGCAGGTGCTTGCTTGGTGGTGTTTTGGGGCCACTGCCAGCCCTGATAGGCGCTAGTCCAGGGCACTCCCGAGGTGGGGACAGATGGGGCTGCAGAGGCAGGTTAGAGACAGATGCCTCTGGTGTGGGTCTCTCTTTTCTTTGTTCCTCTATTTATTTGTTTGTTTGTTCTAAAGATTTTTTTTATTTGACAGAGACACAGAGAGAGAGCGGGAACACAAGCAGGGGGAGTGGGAGAGGGAGAAGCAGGCTTCCCACTGAGCAGGGAGCCCGAAGTGGGGCTCGATCCCAGGACCCCGGGATCATGACCTGAGCCGAAGGCAGACGCTTAACGACTGAGCCATCCAGGTGCCCCTGTCCTCCATTTAATGGGTTGAATTTCTTGCATGGCTACCCGTCAAGTCATTCACAGCTTTCATTTTATTAATAAAAATGAACACAAATGAGGGCACCCAGCTGGCTCAGTTGGAAGAGTTAATCTTGGGTCGTGAGTTCAAGCCCCATGTTGGGTATAGAGATTAATCAAAAAAAAATAAATAAATAAACTTTAAAAAAAAAAAGGACATGAATGCTAATGCAGTGCTGCTCTGTGACAGGCAGTGTCTTAATGTGTATTAACTGCATTTGAGAACTATGCTTCATATCCTTATCATTTTACTCACATGTGGGAGGAAACTGAGGCACGTGGGCTCATTCACACTTTAACTTAACAGAGTATGACTTTGAAGCTGGGACCCTGGCAGAGAGACATGTCCTTAAGTGTCATTGTCACACTTTTCTGTGTCAGACCTTAAACAGCAGGTTTGACCTAACTCCGTATTGTATTGGTAAAGGCAATAACAGAAATACTGGATGTGTAAAAATCTCAGAAGTAGGGCGCCTGGGTGGCTCAGTCGTTAAGCGTCTGCCTTCAGCTCAGGTCATGATCCCAGGGTCCTGGGATCGAGTCCCGCATCGGGCTCCCTGCTCCGCGGGGGGCCTGCTTCTCTCTCTCTCTCTCTCATGAATAAATAAATAAATAAAATCTTTAAAAAAAAATCTCAGAAGTATCAGAAGACTAGAAAGTTTCCTATTCGTGTTAATTCATCAGAAGCTGAGAGAGAGTTGTATACAGAATCAAGAGAAAGTCTGTTCTTTGAGGCTGCAGGTCACTTCACTTCCATCAGTATAATGGGGCAGTTGTAGAAGAGGGTCTGTGTGTGTGCCCGTGAGAAGGGGCCGACAGGGATTTTATCTGACTTTTGAAGTTGTGCCATTAAAAAAAAAAAAAATCACACATGGGCGCCTGGGTGGCTCAGTCGGTTGAGTGTCCCACTCTTGCCTTTGGCTCAGGTCGTGATCTCAGGGTCATGAGATCGAGCCCCATGTCAGGTTCCTTGCTCATCGTGGAGGCGGCTTGGGATTCTCTCTCCCTCTTCCTCTGTCCCTCCCTCCACTCAATTGTGCTCTCTCAAATTAAAAAACAAAACAAAACCCCATCATACTAACAATGTCTAAAAACCAACAAATCGTTTAAAAATTGTCGAATGACTTAGTGGACCCTTTGCACCCCCACGGATCGTTTGGTAAGCATTTCCCATCATAGGTCCTAGAGCGTATCCCAAGAACAAAGGGGACTTTCCTTTCCTTAGCACTGCACTCCAGTGTCCACAGCTCCGCCATGTGTGTGCATTTTTTACCCTTCGTGAGGGTTAATATTAAGATGTCCAGTTTTGAGTTTCTAGAAACATTTATATTAACTTTAAAATGGGCTTTTCAGAGTCGATAAAACTGGGTATTTGCTTTTATGTGTTCTGAATTTGGTGTCTGTGTTGAAGACTCAGCAGTTCATTTCTAACAGATCTAAGTAAACATGCACTATAAAGTTTAGAGTTATGACATAGTAATGTCTTTGTAAAAAAAAGTACACTTAATATCTGATTGCAGTTTTACATTCTAAAACTGAGGTTGAGCTAAGTGATTGTGGGTAATGTTAGCAAGTTGCCTTTTTTAGTTTTAAATTCTGAGACTTTCAGAAAATCTTTGACGTGAGCAACTGACATTCCCCTACGAAAGCTGTCCATCTTCTGCCAGGGGTTCCTGGCGGCCCACTGCCTCAGTTTCCCGGGTGTCTGCTGCATGCCGGCTCGGTGCTGTATCACGGGTCTGAGGAAGGCCCTGGCCCTGTGCACTTGGAGGTGCTCAAGCATGCTTAAAAGGGCTCGAGGGTTCTTGCGGCACCATCTCTGACTTCCCCGTCCTTCCCCCTCCTCCTTGGTCCAATTAGTCCGCAGATGACACCAGCTCCATCTCCTGAATGTCTGCCTCTCATGTTTCCGTCCACTAATGGCCATTCCTGGCGCCTCTTCCTCCAGGGCCACAGGTATTCCTTGCCTGCACCGTGCCATCTTTCTCCCTGGCATCCCCCAGACTCCCCTGCAGGGCCCAGAGGTGACCTGGAGCCTCCCTCACAGTCTCATCTCTGTTCCCACCACCGTCATACTCCAGCCCAGCAAACTTTGTTGTTCCGCGAGACCGTCCTTCTCATGGGTCCTCACACAGGTGGTTGTCCCTTATGGACAGGCCCCGCCACTCTCCCACAGGGCTCAGATCGGGTCGTCTGTCCCTGCTCTGAGCTCCCTGACACCCCGCCCCTTCTGAGTCCTCACCCCTTTGAGTTGCAGTGTTTCCCATTGAACCATCTGGCTCTCAGTCTAGTAAGCTCTGTGAGTGCAGAGCCAGAGCCCAGTCTGCCTGTCCGGTGATGAGTCCCAACAGATGTTCACATCTCTCTGACAGACAAGGTTACAAACAGAAGTGCATGTAATAATGAGATGAGTCATTAATAAGATGCTAGCTTTTTTTTACAACTTTGGATTAAGAGCATTTTTCAGATATGCTTAAAATATGGTTAAAACATTGAATACCCCATACACCTTCCATTAGATTAAACAGCTAGCATTTACCATATTTTTTTTTATCTGTAGGTAGAGATTTCAGGTTTTTGCTGAACCGTTTGAGACTATTGCAGACATCAGGACTTAAATGCTGAATCACGTATCTTCTAAGAATAAGACACTTCTCTGCATTACTATGGTTACATCACCACACGTAGCAAGTAACAGTGATCTCCTGTCTCATACCGGGTCGGTGGTCACATACCCCAGTTGTCACAGCATAAGTTTGATAGCTGTTGGTTTGTTTTCACATCATGATCCAGGCAGGATTCACACAAGTGATTCCGCACATGGTTGTTATGTGTCTAAAGACATAGTCCTCTCTTAGTAAAAACCAGTTAGTTCCTTATTCCTCACCTTGTTTTCTTCCTTTTTCATGTGACTTTCACTTTTCGAAGTGTCCAGGCCGGTTGTCTTGTAAATTGCCTAACATTCAGGATCTGTCTCACTGTTTCCTCTCCTGTATTGTCTGTAAACTGGAAGCTGATCAGGTCTGAGGCTGGAATAGATCAGGTTAATATTTTGGGCTAGAATGCTTCTTGTCAGATGCATGTGTGTCACATCCATCTTCTCCAGAGCCCCTGGTGATGTCCCACTGTTGGTAGGTGGGGTTTGGTCACTTGGCTAAGATCCGTGTAAGGGACAGTTTTCCCGTTGCAACTAACACTGTGACATCCTGTGAAGATCCTGTTCGCCGATAACTGTGATCCCTCCTTTTGTTTTAGCACCTGTTGTGTCTCCTTGCCTAAATTATTATATGAGAGTTGCAGAACGGTGATTTTCTACTGCTGTTGTTCTCCCTGCTTCTGTAAACAAGAGCTTTCCTGCCCCCCTCCCCCTCTCTCCCTCCGCACTTACCCCTTTCTTTCTGTCTCTCTCACTTCTACCCCCTCTCCTCCCATAAATGCCTGGATTTTTATTTAGTCAGTGTGTTAAAATCATTAGGGACAATTTATGCTCAGATTAACCCATGTTTAGCCAGTGGGAAACCTTGAGAGGCTAAATTTAAATTTAAAAAACACGGGGTGGGTGCCTGGCCGGCTCAGTTGGTAATGCAACTCTTGATCTCGGGGTCCTGAGTTCAAGCCCCATGTCAGGTGTAGAGATTACTTAAAAATAAAATGTTAAAAAAAAAAAACTTAAATATGTTTTTGAACACTTCTGGGTTAATTTATTTGCATCAGTTTGTTTCTAAATTTTTTCTTGATTTAAATTTTCAGCCTATGGCTCAGGTAATCCTATTAACTTGGGTGGAGCCCACTGATGAATGCTTCCCTAATTATAAGCTCTCCACAGAGAGTTGAAGAGTGAATTATAAGCCACCTGGGTGCGTGACATCCTCAAATAGTTTTAGTCTGCATAATTAAGAGAATTTTTCTCAATATGTTAGACTATACCTAAATCCAGGTGGGGTGATAGACAGCATCTTGCATGTGTTTAGCTTTTTTTCCCCACTAGGGGGCATGCTGTAGTACTTTCTGGACACCAGGGAGGAGCAGCACCTCCTATCTCAGCTTCCCTCTGTACTCCTTAGATATTGTAGGAAGTGAACATCACAGATGGTCTCAGTCAAAGTCGGCTGCCCATATCGGAAGGCCAGGAATTCACTGCAGTGTGAAAATCCAGCTCTTACGCGTGTCTGGTATAGGATGAGCAAGCGCCTCAGAGGATGCTTGGTACAGGCTACGCCTCGCCAGGCGTCAGCGCCCCTTCCTGTCATTTGTCTTACACTTTGGAACGAGTTTCCACCCACAGGCAGTCCGTGGCAACCTCCACGTGCTGGCAAGTGTGCGAGGAGGCCCCGTATGAGGGTGGAGTGTACATTTTCAGCCATTGCGGGGGTAGGGCTGCTGTTTTCAGCTGTGACCATCCTACGTGCTCACTCTCTCGTGCCCCAGCAGTCCCGCCCTCAGTCCCTCCGCTGGAGACACACTCGCGCGGTCTGTGTCCCTGTTGTAACAGCACACACGTGTCCTTCATGAAGACTCCCCTGCCAAACTGGGGTCTGTCCAAACTGTGGAATGCTACGCTGCAGTTAAACCAGCTTCAGATAAATGTTTACAGTATGCTTCATATAAACACACCTAAAACAATACCAAATTCTTTTTATATGTAGTTATTTTTAGCTACTTGTATTTGTGTTCACAGAAGAAGGTCTAGAAGGATATACTCGCAGTGGGTGGTTTCCTCTTGGGAGGGGAGGACTCTACGTGGTATTGCCATGGTTTTATAGAACTATATTTATGTATCTGGGTGGGTAAATTTTTTTTTTTTTTAAGTAGGCTCCATGTCCAACGTGGGGCTTGAACTCACGATCCTGAGATTGAGTTGCATGCTCTACCAAACTGAGCCAGCCAGCTGCCCCTGAGTAGCTGAATATTTAAAATAAAATAAGCAGACATATTTTTGTAAAAATGTCAAGGAGACTGGGAAAGACTTAAGATTTTTCCAGGACTTTGAAGTAGGCCCTGTTTGATATTTTGTTCACTTGTTTTATATTGCTTAGATTTTTCATTCCTCCTCAAGTAAACTTTTTTTAAACTTTATTTAGTGGATTTCCCTCTCTTAATGCATAGTCGCCATCTTCATTATTTTTTCTTCTCAGAAATGTTTTTATCAGGGCACCCGGGTGGCTCAGTCAATTAAGCATCCAACTCTTGATTTCAGCCCAGGTCATGATCCCAGGGTCCTGGGATTGAGCTGCTACTTAATACACAGAAAAACGGGGAAGGAGAAACAATGCTAAAACACATGTCTGAATTCTTTCGAGTGGTTGCTGTCAGCATGTTGGTCTAGACAGTTCTCTGTGGGGGGAACTGTCCTGTGCATTTCTTTAGCAGTGGCCCCGGCCGCCTCCCACCAGACATCAGTGGCAGCCCCATGGTGACAGCCAGATCTGCTAGGTGCAAAATAGCTCTCAACAAATAGGCAACAGAGCCGTTGTTCTGAATTACCGACTTGAATTCTTTTTAAGTATTTCCATCCTGCCTGCTAATGACAGGGAATGATGGTTCCTCCAAAGCAGAAGGGCTTTTTTGCCTCTCGGTGGTAGCTCCAGAGTCTTGACGCCCCGCCCCCCCCCCGCCGCCCCACACACATACTCCTGCGTTCCTCGGCAGGGGGCCCTGAGGCCCTCGGTCGCTGCCCTGGCTGAGGCGCCAGGCCGTGGTTCACCCCGTAGGCCTACCCAATGAGGGTCCACCTGCAGCGCTGCCCTCGGGAGGAAGGGGCACCAGGGGCAGGTGCAGGAAGGCGCGTGTTCTGAGCAGTGGCATTTGTAAACATCTGTTAGAAACCTGTAAGTTCTCTACAGAGATCTCATCATTAACGGTGGCTGTCAGGGTTGGTTTGCAGACTGCTCGGTCTTCCTTTTGAAGAACCTCGGGCTCCTGTGTCAGCCAGAGCATGCCTTGCGGGGGCCGCTGCGGGCCCTCGAGGCAGGCCCCAGTCCCTCGTCCCTACGTCCCTGCCCCTGCTCTGTGGTGTGTCTCCTACTCTGACGCCCTCAGCTCTGGACCTGGGCTGTCGGGGTTTGAGTCCTGGATGGCTCCTGGGCCAGGGCTTTCGGTCCGTGTCACAGTTCACTCAGCTGCAGACGGGAGTGCCGACGGGGGCCCCCCGGGCAAACTCCGCGGGCAGTCTGTAGCTCTGCTGCGGCGGAGCGGCCCCGATGTGTGGCGTCCAGGCTCGCTGTCCAGCAGTGCAGCGTGTTCCTGCCCCTTCCCTCGCAGCGTGTGGGAAACGGGGCTCTCCTCTTGCTGGCGGCCTCGTCTTCAGAGGAGTGGTGTGCCGTCGTGAGCGCAGTGAACTGCATTGCGCAGTCCGGCCGCTCTTAACGCGCGCTCCTAAGTGAGGGTTCAGTGGCCGCGCAACGTACATCTCTGCGCCTGGTTTGTACTTGTCTTCTCAGGAGCACCCGGTGTACCTGAGCATGTTCTACGAACCACAGTCTGGTAGCACAGAATGTCTTCAAATCCCTTCCTGTCTTGTGGTAAAAAAAAAAAATTACAGATTGAATCCTGCAACTCCTTCCCCCTCTCCCAACGCCAGGTCAAGTCAGTGCTTCTAGAAGATGCTCCTGTGGAGGCTGGGGACGCACGGCCTCTGGGTGGAGGGGGCTGAGCGCCCTGAATGGGCACGTCAGGATGTTCAGCCAAGCTGTCGAGGGCTGCACTGTGTGCGTTAGACTCGCTTGAATTAATCCGAGTGCAGGGCTGTGCAGGGTGTGACTCTGTGTCAGAAGTGACACTGCCGTGGTCCCCGGTCAGAGCGGGAGGGTCCACCTGGCCCCGTGCCTCTTGGTGCCAGGTCGTGGGGGGCATGGCTCAGCGTCTCCTGGGCGGGGGGCGGCGGGGGGTAGGGGGCGAAAGACCCCATGCTTCCACTGGGCTTGAGGGGAGCCGTTTTTCAAAGCTTTTTGGGGGGGAAGTGATGTGAAAGGATTTCAGCCTTTTAAATACCTTGCCTGTATTGTCATTTGTTTTAATCATTCCGTTTTAAAGGAGTCTTTCTGTTTCTCTGGTGGCAGAATGGCTAGCAGGGGGAGGAGGTGGCATGGTTTCCTAGGAGACCGGACAACTAGTGATAACCCACATCCACAGGTTGGAGGTGCGAGCCACTCGCCCGTCGGCTCCTCCCACGGGCTCCCGAGGAAGCACATGGCCAGTATTGAAGGGAGCCGGGGGAGGAGTGCGGTCTGTGTGGGAGCACTCCCATCAGCAGACAAGAAGGATGGCAGGTGCGAGACTTGGAGCCACACAGTGTGGAGGCTTCCCAGGTCCAACCTCTGGCAGACGATGGGCAGGCTCTGATGCCCTGGTCCCGTAGGCTTGGCTGTCGGTGTGATCAAGTCAGAGGAACGTGATGAGTGTGTAGTTTGCCAGCTCCCCCCCGCCCCTGAGACGGCTGGAGATTTGCCAGGGCCGGCCTCTTGCTCAGAGAATAGGAGAACATTCTGTTCAGTGTGGAGCTGGGGGGGCCCATCCATCCATCCCCCAGCAGCCCCCACTGCTATTGTCCTGTTACCTCCTCCACATTCCATGAACATGTCTTTCCTTTCCCTCCGTGTCAAAAATGCCACACGAAAGGGCTGAGAGATAGGAAGATGCTGCAGAAATGTCCGTTTTAACGGCAATTGTCCATGTGCCTCTTTACCAACAGAAAACTTGGAATATAATGTGGAGCCGCAGGAAATCTCGCACCCTGATGTCGGACGCTATTTCTCAGAGTTTACCGGCACGCACTACATCCCAAACGCAGAGCTAGAGATCCGGTATCCAGAGGATCTGGAGTCTGTGTATGAAACGGTGCAGAATATTTACAGTGCAAAGAAGGAGGACGTAGAGTAACGTCTGGTAGAGGACACTGCACCTTTGCCGCTGCCGCTGTCCTCCAGGAGAACAGGATTCCGGAAGAAGACGTCTCCACGGATCCCTCTGGATTCACACCACCAGGAAAGCCACTTAACCAGTAGTGCTGGTTGCCTCCTACCAAGTTTAAATAACGTGTGCTCTCCTCCAGCTGCAAAGACAATGTTGCTCTCCGCCTACACTAGTGAATTCATTTGACGGCACTGTGTTCAGTGGCATGGCTTGTGTGCTTGTCCCGTGGTGACAGTTCGTGACATTCTGTCTTCATGAGGTCTCACAGTCGACACTCTTAGAGTCATTCTTCCTGCTCACTTCCCGTACGTCTGTCTCCACCTGTCTCAGAACATTTCATTTGCCAGACAGAGGGGGGTCCCATGTTGGCAATAACTTCTTTCTGATTTCTCTGTGGAACACGTGCAGTCCTGAGTCGGGGCTGCTTGTTTACCCTGAATTGAGTTGCTCATTCGGAGGGGGAGGCTGTGAGTGATCGTGGCAGCATCTGAGAGCTGGGGACATTAACAGACTAACAGTAATCAGAATCCTCCGCATTTATTTTTTCTAATATTTGAAACAGATTTCAGGCGTTTTATCTTCTCCTTTATTTGAATTGGGAGAATAGCATAGCTTTTCCTTCGTGTTCCTCTCAGATTTATGCTCATCTCTCTGCGAAACCTTAGTTTTCTGTTTCATTACATAAAATCTTTTGAGAAAGTGCATCATAATGGCCTTTATGGATGGATTTTCCCACATTCATCTATTCCTCCCTTTAACATAACTACTTTTTTTTCTTTTAATTTTAAAAATTGTTCCAGTAACATGAACAGATCAAGTCAGTGACGGGTTCTCTTTATAGTAGGAAGTATAATCTGGTGTTAAAATGTTTGCTTTTAGAAACCGTACACGGTGGTCTCCAAAGACCTGAAAAGAAGGTTTCACTTTTGTAATCGGAAAAAAGAAATAATGAACCTTATACAGTTTTTTAAAGAGGAAAGAGGAGGTTCTATGCCCCCTGCCATCCCGTAGTATCACTCTAAGACCCTTTGGGTGTGGTGGGGTGGAAACAAGGAGGACGTCTTTAATTTGAAGAGTGTTCGATCAGTGGGGAAGGAGGCGGGGGCCCTGCTTTCTCGAAGTGCTGCTGTGTCTCGCAGATACCACTGGCTTCTGCCCTGTGCCCTTAGTCCCGGAGCGTGAGGGCACCGGGTCCTTGCGCGGCTCCAGGCGCCTGCCGCTCTCCACCTGCCTGTTCTCAAGCGAGCTAGCTAACTCGTAGTTAACCAATAGAAGCTAACTCCTGGAGTTAGGACCTAGTTACTTTACTCGGAGTTGAAAAGAACCCAGTTGCTCTGGTGAGTGAGGCTTCGGGGGCTGTGATCCGGCCCCGCCTCTCTGCCCTTCTGTGCATTTGCATGCTGTTTTCCCACGCCGTGTTTGAGGACTGCCTCTCGTTTAGCCCGTGGAAGCCCTGGGATGGCCGAGGTTTGGGGAAGCCAGCTGAGACCACTTGGTAGTACCTGGCGGCTGGTAAGCAGTTAGTAGAGATGAGGGTCTGGCGGGCCGGCTCCTGCCAGCCTGAGTTAGCCTCGCCAGTGTCCGCGTCCCTCGTCAGTCCGATCCAGAGCCTGATGGGTTAGATTTGCCTGGGAAATGTGACCACTCACAGCACCCAGCCTGCTGAGGCTGGGGGTCTTAACACTACTCTCGTTTAAAGGTGAGAACTAGTTTAATCCAGAGGTAATACTAACCAGATGCATTACTAAGAAACTGTGGAGCATGCTGAGTTATAATTGATTTCCTTTTTTTCTTAGAGTAACATCAAAGCCAAGAAGGATGGTTTTACCTTTACTGACCCAATGTAAATATGTATCTAGACCGTTTTTAAATGTGTTTCTTCATGAATGCTTCATTTTGGCTCCAGGAAGCCTGTGTCACCTGTGTAAGTTGGTATTTGGGCACTTTATATTTTTCTAAAAACGTGTTTTGGATCTCCTGTACTCTAATAAATCATAAGTTTCTTTTTAAAATTTTTTCCAAAAGTTTCTCCATTTTAAAAAGCCCTGTTACAACAAAGTAGGACTTTCATGATGTTAAAGTATTAAATATTTGGATATATAGTAACTTCTTTTCTCTTCAAATGAATGCCAAGATTTTTTTGTACAATGATTAATAAATGGAACTTACCCAGAGAAACCACACAAGTGGCCTGCCCGGTTTCGTTTCGGAACAGAAAACCCGGCCTTGACAACGGCAGAATGTCCCTGGCTTCTCTTCTGACCCAAACATGCAAACATTTGCTCTACTGAATTTTTCCTAACGTTGGTGAGTGCACAGGGTACCTTTATTCCATGGGCTCCTTGCCAAACATCAGTTCTGTAAGCGGGCTAAGAAGGTCGAGAGCACCTGGTTGTCATGTGAACGTAGCAGCTTGTCACCGATGTTACGGTCTGTGTCGTGAAATGGGAAGGGCAGGCACTTTGGGAAGTGCAGGTTCTCGGTGCGTCGTTAACATTGATGTGATAGCTGCATGATGTGCCGCATGTCCACAGCGCCCCGCAGGGCGCCCATTGTCCAGGGGATGCCCCTGTGTGCCAGTCACCAGCGTCCTGCGCTGCGGTGGGTCTCAGACCTCGAACGTACTGTTGTGCGTTGTGACTTTATGAGGAGAATGTAGTGTGCCATGTCTTACCTACTTCTTAGACCCTAGAACTTTCTTCCCCAGCACACACACACACACACACACACACACACACACACACACACACACAGCAGCCTCGAGGTCCAGTGTTTGCAGATGTACTTTGGGAAACACTGTGTCATCAGTTATGTCCAAAACTAGTCTCCATTTGCCTCAGACTAGTTTGGCCAAGCATCTTGTTTGAAAACTTCCATCTAATCGGATTTTGAAAGGCTGGCTTTCATGTTGTCTCTGCTGGAACCTCATGACAGATCTCATTATAAGTGCATTTACACAGCAAAATTGTTTTATCATGAAAACCAGCATTAATACCGTTGCTAAATGAGTTTTACATTTTCTAATATCTACTTAGTCTCGTTCTAATTTTTAAATGTCTCAGTCTTTCTTAACATATTAAATTGAGTCAAGCGTTCATGTTCTAGGCTTTCTTCTACCATCAGAAGGGGAAATGCTGTTTCCCTTACTCCATATTCCAAGTAAATAAAATCGGATTACCAGCAGCTTTTTAATTTAAAAGTATCCTGTGGCCATAATAATCAAGATGTAGCTCTTCTGTTTTTTCTGTTTTTTTGGAGGAAAGGAGAGAATGTTCACCTAGATGAAATGCAGAATTTGGCTCTGTGACGGTTTATTTCTGGAGATGTCAACAGTTGTATTGCATGTCTTCTTTTGTATCGCAAGCTTCCTTTGAGCCAGCCCTGGCCTAAACTAGAATCTTCACAGCAACCCTCTAAAGCAGGGCCAGGTAGTCAACATTTTTGCGGGCCACGTAAGGTCACATGTTCTTTGTTTTCAAGAACGTAGAAGACCTTCCCCGCTCGAGGGCTGTAAAGGAACAGGCCGTGGGCTGGGTCTGGCCTGTGGGCCACAGTTTGCCGACCCCTCCCAGGGTGTAGGCTCGCCAGCATCCCCCCATCCAGCCGGGCAGTCGGGAGTGTACCTCTTGGAGGCAGTATAGCTGTGGGACGCCCAGGTATCCGACCTCCGAGCTCCAGCTCTTGACAACCACACTACCGCCACCTTTAGCAACTACCTCGCACTGGTTTGATCTTTTGCCTTGCAGCCACTATAACTTCTGAACGTTTCAGTTCTGACAACTTAGAATCTTGAGAGGAAAGGACATTCCTTTGGTGAATAAAATTCTGTGCAATTATAGAATAAATGTATTATGGCCATTTAGTGATGATTGTATTAGGGTAATGCTAGTTCTGTAATAAATAGACCCGAAAATGTCCTGTGGCTCGAACACACAAGAACTTTTCTCACTCACTACCACCGGGCAGGGGAATGGGTTGGCAGGGGGGAGGGGGGACTCTGCTGTCTGTCTGCTGGAAGCTTTGTGGCCCTGAAGGGGAGTGAGCAGGGAGGGACACGTCTGGGAGGGTTCGATGCACAGAGGCTGAGGGAGTGGCCCTTGGCACTGCCACTCACATTTCGCAAAGGAGGCTGGGAATGAAGACACGGAAACACATGTGGCCAGTCCACTCTGGGTGTGTTCTCCCCACAGTGGGATGTGCCCCCCTTCCCAGGGAGACAGCCTCGGTGAAGTCAAGCTGTCTGTGATGGCCAACATTGCCTTTGTCACTGGCTCAGTCCAGAAACGTATTGTTTGCTCCTGCCACTGCAAGGCCCCCAGGCCGTGGGGGGTGACTCCTCACAGGTCCCACTGCTAGCCACCGTCCGCCATCCCCGCAGCAGATGACCACGGGAGAGAAGGAGAGGAGGGCTCAGGCCAAGCCACATCTGTCACTACTGTCTCAGTAACCAGACAAGTCACAGACCCACAACCTAACTCCAGAGGAGGTTGGGAAATGGCCTCCCGTGTGCCCAGGAGGAAAAGGAAAGGTTTGGGGGCTCTGCCTGGTCTGTGCCTCTCACCCCGAGCCTCTCCTGCCCACTTCCTGCATCCTGCCCAGGGTCATTCCAGCATGGCTCCTTGGGGACCAGCCCCATGAACTAGAAGTTTTGACCCCCTCCCCCCAGTACCCCTTCAGTGGGGATGCAGAGGCCAGGCGGCTGCAGTAGGAACTCCCACCAGGAAAAAACGAAGAAGACACACACACAAGCCGCTGTGCTCCCAGGGACGAGATCCTGCTGGGCAGGCACCGAGAAGAAATTCCCCACCCACCCCTGTCCTGGCAGGGGTGGGGAGAGTGGTGACTGCGCCCATCCTGCCCTCTGGACCCAGCCCTCCTGGTCACCCCACTAGTACAGGTTGGGGGTGCATGCATCGTCCTTGGGAGCTGGGCAACTTGCACGGGTGCTTCTTGCCTGGTGCAGGGTTTGGAGGCCAGCCCCAGACAAGCTTGTGAATCCTCTGGCAACAATTCCCTCAGACATTTAGCAGGCTACTACCCTATCTGTGCCTAGGATCATAGCCAAAGTTATTTTCCAGAACTTCACGGGTCTGCTTTATTTCCTTGCGGCTCTGCCCCGTGCCTGTCTCCACCACCGCCCTCCCGCCCCCCTCTGACTTAATGATGGCCACTCTAGTCTGATACTCGCCAAAGCTGAGTCCAGCTGTTTAACGGGCCCGCGTTGCTCAAAGTGATTCTCATCCTCGTCTCTTGCTGGGGCCACACATTTTTTTAACATAGGGAGCCCAGGATTTTGGACTTTGGTTCTCAAACCAGCGCCTTTTCCCCTGAGCATCTTGTCATACCTTGCTGTAAGCTGCAAAAGGCAACTGGCACACTATATTCTCTCTCTTTGCCTGCTTCCCCTAGGCTCCACCTTGCAAACCATAAGCCCAGATTTTACTGATTCCGACCCCAAACACAGCCCTCCCACCTCCCAGCCTGCTGTCTGTGTGCCTTGCCACCTGACTGCCAAGTGGATGCCGTACAAATAGGTTTTTGTTATGGCAGTCCCCCTTTCAACGGTTTTTGTTTTGGCCGGGGTGGGGAGGGGGGCGCGGTGTGGTGGTTAAGTTTAGAGTGGGCTAATGTTTCCATAGGAAGTTCTTCCTTGTTCGGCTGTGCAAAAAAAAAAAAACTAAGGACAATGATGGCAAGTTTTCTGGGGACAGGACAGCTAAAAGTAAGCTGTTTAGTGAATTTGAGTTGACAATAAAGGAAAGAAATTTGGGGGAGAACCAGTGGGAACAGCATGCATTATAGAATCCTTGCATGGTCAGATTTTCCAACTACTTCCCTTAGAATGACAGAAATCTTGGGACGGTCCGGCTGGCTTAATTTGTAGAGCATGCAACTCGATCTCGGGGTTTTGAGTTTGAGCCCCACATTGGGTGTAGAGATAATTTAAAAAATGAAATCTTAAAAAAAAACAGAACGCCAGGAATCATAATGGAAATTTTCATATTCAAGCCACAGAAATCGGGGGAACCCAGAGAACACTTTGAATGAAAGTTAATTGCTTTTCCCTGTCTCTAAAACATTGTCATCCCCAGGTTTTAGAACTCACTAATAACCTGCCACTTCCGATATGGTGATGTCCTCAGTCCTGGCCGCAGGACAGGAAAACATTGACTGACTTCCTTCCCTTCTAGGTCCTTTGGCTGGTCTGATAATTAAATTGACACAAGACAGATTAACAGGAGAAAAAAAAAATTTAGTATCTTACTTAACAGGAGCCCATAGAAATAAGAGACTCAGAGAAGTGCCCAAAGCAGGCAGCTTTTATACCTTCCAGACAACCAAACATTTGTGAAGAATTGACAAGAGCAAGGGGTTTGGACTTGGGGTAGCAAATTAGTGAAGAAGCAAGAAGCATTGTTCCCACAGCCTTCAGGGCCCTGAATTCCCTCTGGTGATAAGGACGCCTCTCTTTCTCCTGGTTCAGGGAGGGTTACCTTGCACAGGGGAGATTTATTTCCTGCCCTCAGAGTCAGAGTGTCCTCCTTGGATGCACTGGATGCATCTTAAGTCACTTGAATTCAAAATAATCACTACCTACACCACAGAGGCGGATTTGGGGGTGGCCTGCCCTGAACCCTCCCCCCTGCCGTTCCTGTGCAGAGGGCTTTGCCCACAGGCTCTCCTACATCCCTCCCCCCTCCCCCTGCCCAGCCCATCCGCTCTGTAGCATGAATCAGTGCTTCATGCCTCTAATGGTGGAATACTATTCCATCGCATGGACACGGACGCGCCACATTTTGTTTATCCACTCAGCTATTGATGGGCTTTCAGGTTATTTCCACCTTCTGGGTGTTGCGAATAGAGCTGCTCTGAACCCCGCCTGGGATTTTCAACCACAGGTAGCTCTGCTTCTGCGTGGTATGCACACCTGTGCTTTCTGTGTCACGAGAGTCGTGATTTGTCATTCTCCCCAGCAACCGGGGTTTTCCTCTGGGGAGAATGTGAGCCCCACCTGGGAGGTGGCACTGGGAATTCCGAGATGCAGTCTCATTTCACTGGATGACTGCTGGTGTCTTGAGTGTTTGTTTGTTTGTTTTTTTAGATTTTATTTATTTATTTGAGAAAAAGAGCACAAGCAGAGGGGAGCGGCAGGCAGGGGAGAAGCAGACTCCCCGTGGAGC